CCGAACAAGCGACGTTTCAGAGTGGATGCACTGGACCTCTTTGTGAGTGGGGACGTCTCCGGCATGAGAGCTCAGAGACTCTTCCACCATGCAGCCCTTGCAGGCTCTGCACATGTGCAGGATCTGGCGAAGCCGGAGGGATGCAAAAACTCCCACCGCGACCTTTTGCGAAAGGCCCTCAAGAGTAGCCTCTGGCCAAAGCCTTACGAAACAGAAGTCCTGGGATGGGATGTAAAGTCTGGAACAGAGAAGACCATGAGGTTGGCATATTACTTGCCCCACGAGATGGTGCATGCCATGCTGCAAGTCAGCGAGTCCTCGGACATAGTGGCGCTGCAAGAAGAGACTCTGCCAAGCAGACAGGACTTGTTAGAGCACTTGAGGGGTTTCGAGACCCAATTTGGTCTCAGGGATGTGGTGGCTCTGGGCCTTTGGATGGATGGCGTCCCATTCAACCACGACAGGTCGCAGAGTCTGGAATGCATCAGCATGAACTTCCCAAGCCTCCCGAAAGAGTATCAGGACGTACGTTTACCAGTCACTTGCTTCCCCAAGTTTTTCCTTGCGAAAGGAAAGACATGGGATTCGGTCTTGAAGCCCATAGTGTGGAGCATGCGGTGCTTGCTCTTCGGTCGCTTCCCACAGCAGAGACATGACAACAAGCCTTTCACACAGGACGATGCTGCAAGGAAACGATTAGCCGGAAGTGCGATCGGCATGCATTGTGCTCTGTCGGAAGTCAGAGGGGACTGGTCCATGTTCAAAGACGTGCTGCGATTCCCTGGATGGCAAGGAAAGGGCCCCATATGTTTTCTATGTTCATGTACTTTAGCAACCTTGCACGATGTTGGGTCGGATGCAGCATGGAGGACGGTGTTTTGAAAATTTCACTTCGCCTCATGTTCAGGAGGTCCTCCTGTTGTGAGGAGGGTCTCCTTCAAAGTGTCCATGTGTTTGTTTCTCTGTGTCTTGCTCATGCCTGCAGGTCGCAGCGACTGACCCCAGAGCAGTTTCTTCAGAGGCAGCGAGACGAAGGCCATGAACCTGGTGTTCTCTTCTCGTCGCCGGGCTTCAAGAGCACGTGCTGCAAGTGGGATTGGTTGCATGCAGTGGATCTGGGGATAAGTCAGGACTTCCTCGGAGCCTGCTTCAAGCATGTGGCCGAGACCTACATGCCAGGAGCCAGCTTCAACGGGCAGTGCAATGAACTGTTCAAGCAGATGCAGACCTTCTACAAGCGGGTAGAAGCGGAAGACCGACTGAACACCCTCACTCCCGGCATGCTACAAAAAGACAAGAAGGCTAAGAAAAGAAGCTGGCCCAAGCTTCGTGCCAAGGCAGGGGAGACCAGAGCCTTGGTTCCTTTTTGCAGGGAGCTCGTGGAGAAGTACTGTGTCACCGACTCCGACATGGAGGTGACCGTGCGACGTGCTGCGAGGGTTCTGGAAAGCTGCTACGACTGTCTTCATGACAGTGTCTGGAAAAGAGAGGTTCTGGAAGCCCGAGCTCGCAGGTTTGCAGTTCTCTTCGTCAAGCTAACCTCGCTGCCGGGGCAGAAGCTTTTCCGGGCCAAGCCAAAGCTTCATGCCTTTCTTGAAATTGCTGCCTCGCCTGCGAACCCACGAAGAACGTGGTCGTACCGGGACGAATCGTTTGGGCACACATTGTCGAAGCATGCTGTTCGCAGGGGCGGGGAGTTCAGCATGCTCGGAGTTTCAAGGGCAATGTTGCAGAAGTTTGCAGCAAGCAATCCAAAACCACCATTTTTGCGAGCCAGCTCAGTCAAAAAAAGGCTTCAGACCGTGCTTTCTTAGCCTCTGTCACGAGACATCATCTTGCATGTACCACACCAAAAACCTTTAATTAAGAATGCACCAAAAAAACCTCTAATTAAGGCAAAAGCGCTTCTTCGAACCGCACAACTCTTAATTAAGGCGAAAAACCTTCTAATTAAGGTTTGGTTTTACACTTTAACCTTTAATTAAGCTAATATCCTTTGTTTAAGGGCTGATTTCAGCGGGTTTTTTTTTAATTAAGGGTCTTTCTTAAATTTAAAGACTTTTGGAGTCTCTGGGTCGACGGAAATGCGGACACCAGTTTAGGGTCGCCGCAGGCAAAGTCGTCGCGACCGGGTCGGCGACCGCACGCTTCTCGTATGAGAGCCCGCAGTGCAAGGCAAAGGTCGCATCAGCCGTGCGAGACGGCCGCATCGACAATCGACGGCAATGCGGACACATGTTTACTGTCGCTGCAGGTCATGTCGTCGCGGCCACTGCACGCTATTCGTCAAGCCCTAACAACTCGGCCTAGGGCCGCTTGCCCCTCGGGGCAGAGGGTCATGGGACTTTGGGGTCGGCAGATTTATTAGGCACCCCAAAGCCATACCAATGGGATAGGTTCTGGTGGAGCACCATTCCATTTTCGCTTACTGAGTGGTTGTTCTTGCACGCAGTAGGCAAGCAGTAGAGGAACTCTGCTGTTTCCTAGGAGTTTTGGGCCACTTTCCAGCATCTCGACGGCAACGGACTGCGAAAACGGGGCAAGAGCAGCGGAACGGTTGACGACAGCCCAGACGAAGAGGTCTTGGACGACTTCGCGGGCCATGAGGCCTTGGGGCCATGAGAAGCAGTGCGGGCGGGAAGGGCGGAGCTATGGAGCCATGGGACGGGGGCGCCTTGGAGACCATGGGGCCATGAGAAGGGCAGTGCGGGCGGGAAGGGCGGAGCAAGCGGGAGCGGGGTGGGGGTGGGGAGAAGGGGAGGGGAAGTTAAGGGGGGAGGCTAAAGGTTCGAGCGGACGGAGCCATGGGCGGGGTGGGCGGGCAGCCCTTTAAATTCAGCTGATGGGGTCCAGGGGCATGGGGCCATTATGGGACCATGCAGCCATGAAGACAGGGAAGTGCGGGCGGGAAGGGCGGAGCAAGCGGAGGGGGCGGGCATGCGCTCCTTGAAATTCAGCTGATAGGGTCCAGGGGCATGGGGCCATGGAACCATGGAGCCATGGGGCCACGAGCCCTTGGAGACCATGGGGCCATGAGAAGGGCAGTGCGGGAGGGAAGGGCGGAGCAAGCGGAGGGGCGGGCATGCGCTGAAGCCTTTTAAATTCAGCTGACATGCAGCCATGGGGCGGAGCTAGCGGAGGGGGCGGCCATGCACTGGGGCCCTTTAAATTCAGCTGATAGGGTCCAGGGGTCTGGGGACCATGCAGCCGGGCCATGAGCCCTTGGGGCCATGAAAAGCAGGTGCGGGCGAGAAGGGCGGAGGCATGGAGCCATGGGACGGGGGCCATGAGCAGGGCGGCCCTTTAAATTCAGCTGATAAGGTCCAGGGGCATGGGACCATGGAGCCATGCGGCCACGAGCCCTTGCAGAGAAGGGCAGTGCGGGCGGAGCAAGCGGGCATGCACTGGGAGGGGCGGGCATGCTTTGGAGCCCTCTAAATTCAGGGGCATGGGGCCATGGGACCGTGGAGCCATGGGGCCACGAGACCTTGATGGGGCCATGAGAAGGGCAGTGCGGGTGGGAAGGCCGGAGCAAGCGGGGAAGCTGCGGCCCTTTAGGGGTCCAGGGACATGGGGCCACGGGGCCATGCAGCCCTGAAGACAGGAAAGTGCAGGCAGGAAGGGCGGAGCAAGCGGAGGGGGCGGGCATGCACTGGGGCCCGTTAAATTCAGCTGAGAGGGTCCAGGGGCATGGGTGGAGCCATGGAGCCATGGGGCCACGCACGGCATAGGAAGGGACCCAATAGGCAGGGTGTATGTGGGGGTGGGAGTCGGGGTGGGGGATAAGACACCCCCCTTTGGGAACCATGCGGACATGAGAAGGGCAGTACGGGGGGAAGAGCGGAGCAAGCGGGCAAGCGGAGGGGGCGGCAGCCCCTGGGGCCATGAGAAGGGCAGTGCGGGAAGCGCAGGCATGGTGCCATCGGAAGGGACCCATGGGCAGGGTGTATGTGGGGGTGGGAGTCGCGGTGGGGGTGGGGAGGGGTTGGAGCAGACGGAGCCATGAGCGGGGTGGGCGGGCAGCAAGGGCAGTGCGGGCCATAGGCGAGGTGGGCGGAGCGGGCGGGAAGAGCGTAGCATGGGATGGGCAGGTGTATGTGGGGGTGGAGGGGGGGAAGGGAAGGGGCCATGCACTAAAGCCCCCAGAGCCCAGAGCGGACAAAAATGGGTCTTCACTGACGCCGCCCCGCTGCTGCTGGGGTCGGCGGATTAGGGGGCTCCTCGGGATGAACGGGGCTTAACCTTGGCCACATGCTTGTAATTGGGTTCCCTAAGGGTCGTTCTTATGTACTTGGGCCCCAGAGTCCCTATATAGAGGTACTATATTTAGGCCCAAGTATTCTCTATTTAGGTACATGGACCCTCAAGGTCCTTTTTTTGGCTTGGGAGGAGTGGAGTTGAGGATTTGCGGGTTTTTAGTCTTCACACCCAGCCCTCAATCCCCAACGCCTGCCCAGGCCTTGTTATCTACGAAAACCCCTCTTAGGGGGCTGGGTAGTTAACCTTTAACTCACGCTTTTGGTTATCCATAATCTTATTTAGAATCAAAGATTACAACCTTTTTAGGGCTAGGTTGAGAGCCCCTAAGCCCCAGAAGCTTAAGAGTGTCAAGCCTAAGCCCAACACCCTGGCCAGGAGCCGGCGGAACCCGCCCATGTACCTCATTCTTATGTACTTGGCCCCTATATAGGGAGGTACTTTAAGGCTCAAGTATTCCCCATTTACCCATTTAGGTACATGGAACCTTAAAGTCTGGGCGTTAGGGTATGTGAGAGGGTTATGTAGGGGTTTAGGCATCAGGGGTCGGGGCGGGGGGGGGGGAAGGGGAGGGAAGGGGTGTAATTGAATGGTGTGCTTGCCGGTTCACAAATGCTCAAGCTGAAAACGCGAAAGCACAAAGACCTGAAGCCACAAAAGACCTACAAAAGCCGTAAAAGCTTAAGATCATCAGGCCCTACACCCAAACCCAACCCGCAAAACAAGCCCAAACACATGGCCAGGAGCCGGCGGAACGAGAGAAAACGACCGAGGCCTGTGGCCTTGGATCAATGACGTAATGAGATCAAGAGGTTTGTGCACTTGGGTTGAATTGGTGCGTGGTGTGTGAGGGCTTATAGGGCTTTCGGGTATGATGACTCCCTTCACAATTTTTTGGGTTTCGGGTTTAGGAACCCCCCCCCCCAGTATGAGGAGAGGGTTTTTATCGTTTGTCCGAACAAACGGCCCGTCCTTGTAGTTTCAAGCTTTAGGGCTACTAAGTTTCGGGCCTCCCGCCCCCGAAAAAAAAAAACATAGAGATTTTCAATCGGGGCCACTGCCCGACCGGGTTTTGGGGCCAGGGTTTGTTTGGTATTCGGGTTGTGTTAAGATCAGGGGAACGGATTTGGGGTTTCAGTAGCTGACCTTGAATCTTGTGAACTTGTTGGGCCCATAGGGGCTCAATAGGAAGATGCTTGTCTTTGCGTGTATTTCTCTTTGGAGGGGTCGAGAGTTGAGGATTTGCGGGTTTCGGTGTTCTTGGTTGACGGCAAACCCTAAACCCTTAAACCCTCAATCCTCAACGGCCCCTCAGGCGGGGAGATCCCCCAACAGCTGCCTTAGGTACCCTGGCTAGGGCAAATTTGCCATAACTTGTGGTAGGATTTCCGAAATCCTGAATCCTAGACCCTCAAACGCCTCGAAAACACACAACCCTGAAACCCTACAAACAATCGAACACTTGAAACCTTCGAGCCTTTAACAAAGCGTCAGGCCCTAAGCTCAAAACGCTCTCAAACCCGAAACCCTAAAACCCACAAAACAAACCCTGAAAGCCCCAAAACTCTGGCCAGGAGCCGGCGGAACCGCAGATGACGGATGAGGCCTGTGGCCTCGGATGAATGACGTAATGAGGGGATGGGGTTTAGGGTTTAGGGTTTAGGGTCCAGAGTTTTGCGCACTTGGCTTGGACTGGAGCTCAGGGTTTTTTTGTCCAACAGCCTCATCTCTCAGCATCCTCAACTGGCACTCTGTCTTTTGATCGGGTTGAAAGCTGGGGTTTAAGCTTCGGGCTTGTTGAAAACTCCTCTTCGCACACAAAGGGCTTCTCTTGGGATGCTCCCCCTTTGTACTAACAGCCCTTAAGAGGGAATAGGGGGCACTATAATCCCTACGAAGGACCGTTAGTATAAGGGCGAGCATCCCAAGGCTTCTCTCTCTTTTTTCCTGGGTTTCTGGGATTCTTCAGATGGAGCCTGAAGTTACTGACAAGTTGGGACACCCGCTACCGATGGTTGCTGTTGTGTTGCCTTTAAAAACCCTAGGCTCTCAACCCTAAACCCTAAACCCTAAACCCTACGGAGCCTTTTGCGTGCGCTGCGGTTGGTGGGGCGGGCGACGCTTCAGTGCTTGGGATTTATGTGTGTAGGATTTCAGGATTTTGGGCTTTGGGCTCCCTACTAAGTGTTGAAGAACCCCGCAAAAATAAAGAGAATAACCCCTTTAGCACCCTTATAACGAAGAGTCTGTTTTTCTTTTGGTTTGGGCGGGGGTGGGGGGCGGCTCTTAAGCAAGTGGCAGTTCCGGATTTAGGGTTTAGGGTTCAGAGTTCAAGGTTGAGGGGGTAAGGGTTTAGGGTTTAGGGTTTAGGGTTTAGGGTTTAGGGTTTTGGGTTTAGGGTTTAGGGTTTAGGGTTTAGGATTAGGGTTTAGGGATTAAGGTTTAGGGATTTGGGTTTAGGGCTTAGGGTCCCTTAGGGTTCCCTCACCCTTGGGACATGGCAAGAGTGACGTGGTTGAAGGATGCCGCGGCGCTGGCCTCCATGATGGCCGAGGCGCGCTCGCGCAGTGAGGTGTTTAGGGTTTAGGGTTTAGGGTTTAGGGTTTAGGGCTTAGGGCTTAGGGGGTTCAGAGTTAAGGTTTGAGGGTTTGTTAGGGTTTTTAACATGCAAGAAGCCTGCGCAGCGATTCCCTGAACACCACATCCGCCGACCGCCCCCAAACAGATCCCTCCACCATGGTCTACCGAGGAAGTATGTCTGTCTATTAGGGTGCAGGGTTTAGGGTTTTGGTTCATATGAAGCCGACGGGGAAGATTACCCAGATTATGTGTATGAATGTTGAGGTCTGCCCTGCTAAACCCTAAGTTTGGGATGTTCCCCCTTATACTAGCAGCCCTGAATCGGGATGACGTTGAACTATAATCCCTATCCAAAACTGCGAGTATAAGGGGGAACATCCCTAAACCTTAAACCCTAAGCCCAAAACCTTGTCCGTACCTTGGGTGCCAGGAGCCCAAGCTACCGGAGGTGGAGGCTCACCGGTTCTTAGTAGGGAACTTGAGATTTAGGGTTTATGGTTTCGGGTTTAGGGTTTAGGGTTAAGCATCTGGTTCTGTAGTTCTTGAAGTTGAGAATGAGGGTTTGGTGTTTAGGGACTGTTTGTTGGCAGGGAATTTGGCCATAAACTCCAGGGGAATGTAAGGTACTTGCTTCGCTAGTTCCCGAGTGATACCCAGTGAGGCAGTCCTGGAATGGAGGTCGCCCCCTGCTACTTAGGGCTCAGGCTGTGGGAGTTTAGGGCAAGGACCCGAAGCCCGACATCCCAAACCCATGAACATTACCCTAAACCCTGAGCCCTAAACCCTAAACCCTAAACCCTAAACCCAGGAACGTTAAGCTGGGGTTTAGGCTTAGGGCTTGTTGAGGACTCCTCTTCGCACACAAAGGGCTTCTCTTGGGATGCCCCCCCTTTGTATTAACAGCCCTTAAGAGGGACTAGGGGGTACTAGAATCCCTACGAATGACCGTTAAACCCTAAACCCTAAATGTTAGTATAAGAGGGAACATCCCAAGGCTTCTCTCTCTCTCTCTCTTTTTCCTGGGTTTCTGGAACTTTTCAGATGGAGCCTGAAGTTACTGACAAGTTGGGACACCCGCTACCAATCGTTGCTGTTGTGTTACCTTTAGAAACCCTAAACCCTAAACCCTAAACCCTAAACCCTAAACCCTAAACCCTAAACCCTAAACCCTAAACCCTAAACCCTGCGGAGCTTTTTGAGTGCGCTTCGGTTGGTAGGGCGTGCGGCCCGCGATGGAAGGGTTTGGCGCTTCAGTGATTGGGATTTCCGTGTGCAGGATTTCAGGACTTTGGGCTGAGGGCTCCCTACTATTTGTTTAAAAGAACCCCCCTCAAAAAAATAATGAAGAGAATAATCCCTATAGTACCCTTATAGCGAAGAGTCTTATTATTATTTTGTTTTGGGGGCGAGGGGCGGGGGGGGGGGGTGGGGGCTCTTGAGCAAGTAGCAGTTCCGGATTTAGGGTTTAGATGTTTAGGGTTCAAGGTTGAGGGTTCAGAGTTCAAGGTTGCGGGGTTTAGGGTTTAGGGTTTAGGGTTAGGTGTTTAGGGTTTAGGGATTAGGGTGTAGGGTTCCCTCACCCTTGGGACATGGCAAGAGCGTCGTGGTTGAAGGATGCCGCGGCGCTGGATTCCATGATGGCCGAGGCGCGCTCGCGCAGTGAGGTGTTGAGGGTTTAGGGTTCAGGGTTTAGGGTTTAGGGTTTAGGGTTTAGGGCTAGGCCAAGCCAGGCCGAGGCTTCAGGGTTTCGGGGGTTTAAGAGTGAATTCGACCTGCAAGAAGCCTGCGAAGCCATACCTGAACCCAACAGCTCCCTCCAGGATGGTCTACTGAGGAATTTCTGTTTTTTAGGGTTTAGGGTTTAGGATTTTTGTTCATAAGAAGCCCTCGGGGAAGATATGCTATATTATGTGTATGAATGTCTACCCTGTTGAGACGTAAGCTTGAGATGTTCCCCCTTATACTAACAGTCCTTAATCGGGAATATAATCGGCGGGGGGGGGGGTTAGATAATCCCCATTAAGCACTGCTAGTACAAGGGTAAACATCCGAAGGCTACGCCCTAACCCCTAAACCCCTAAACCCCTAAACCCCTGAACCCCTAAACCCCTAAACCCCTAAACCCCTAAACCCCTAAACCCCCAAACCCCTAAACCCTAAACCCCTAAACCCTAAACCCTAAGTCCGCACCTTGGGTGCCAGGAGCCCAAGCTACCGGAGGTGGTGGAGGCTCACCGGCTCTTAGTAGGGAAATTGGGATTCAGGGTTTCGGGTTTAGGGTTTCGGGTTTAGGGTTTGGGGTTCAGCATCTGGTTCTGCAGTACGGAATTTGGGAATGAGGGTTTGGGGTTTAGGGTCTCTTTGTTAGCAGGGAATTTGGACGAAACATCCGGGGGTACTTACTTCGCTAGTTCCCGAGTGATACCCAGTGAGGCAGTCCTGGAATTGAGGTAGCCCCCTGCGAGGTAGGGCTCAGGCTGCGAGACTTTAGGGCAAAGACCCCGAAGCCCGAAATCCTAATCCCTGCAAACTTTAAACCCTAAACCGACATCGCTACTAGACCTCTTGAGTGTATTCACAATCTGGCAACCTCTTAGGGGTACATCCTTCGGGTCCAAGTTGGATTCCCTTGAATAAAGTCCATACTTGGGCCCTTAAGCTACCCTTTACGGCCCAAGTATGCAATAAAGCTGCATGAACCCCTTGGGAAATCGCCCTGAGCTGGGTTCGAAGGAGTTGCAAACCTCCACCCAGCCTGAGATGGTGGAGGCAAGCTGCTGTTGCAGTTGCGCTGCTTAGGGTTCAGGTTTAGGGTGAGTTCGTTGGACATGGTTGCATGTTCGCCTTTGTCCACGAACGGAATCTTTCAGTACTTAGGAGTGCGGAAATCTTTGAAGTCGTGCCGGAATCCATTCCATCGCGTTGGGATGCTCGCAAGCAACAAATCTTTCCGGGCGAGTCGTTGTGTGGTCTGGCTGTCCCGACAATGGATGGTGACCTGCTGCAAGCCTCCGACATCGTGTGGTTTGTGGACAACGAGGCCGCGGTTTCAAGTCTCATCCAGGAAACTTCTGATGTGGGGGACGTCCACCTCATTGCCCAATGTGCGGCCCTGCTCACGCAGACTCTGAGGAGTCGAGTTTGGTATGAATGGGTGGACTCTGATTCCAATCCAGCTGACGGGCTCAGTCGCCTTGGCTTGGAGGACCCTTGGCCTCAAGCGCAGGGCTGGGACCTTTGAGAGGTGCAGCTCCCAGAATGGTTGTCTGCAACCAAGCTTTTGGATGCTCTTTGGCACGAGTTTCCGTCAGGTTAGAACAGTGGGTGATGAGCGACAGTGGGTGTGGGGCGAGCAGTTAGACCAGTGCAATGATCCATTTCACTTACGCCAAAACCCCAAACCCCAACCCTGAACCCTGAACCCTGAACCCTGAACCCTAAACCCTAAACCCGAACCCTACAAACTCCAGTGCCTAAGCCGAAATCCCTATAGACCTCGCGAGCCAAGCCGCCCTTCACCCATAGGGATGGGTTGACCTTGCTTTCCACGAAAGTCTGAGGGTGACTTGGGTGTTCTTCGGGTCAAAGTGTCCAGGGTTAGGGCTAGGCCCCCAACCCAGCCCCCAAGCTCCCAATCCCAAACCCAAAACCCTAAACCCTTAACCCTCAACCCTGAACCCTGAACACCCTTCCTAAGACCAACGCCAGCGCACGGCTCCCTGCTCCAAGATCAGCCCTGAGCTGTTTTTGTTTTAAACTTAGAAGGATATCGGGTTTTGGGTTTAGGGTTTAGGGTTTAGGGTGTAAGTAGGGATTTTTGGGGTTTACGAAGATAGGGGACCCCTAATAATGTAGACCCCCAAATAGTAGGATCCCCTCATAGCGGGGGGACCCCAACAAGTTACCCCCTTAGTTGCGTAAGCCCCCATTTAGATTGGGGGGCTGCTTTTCTTGGCTTCCTGGTTTCTTGTTTGGAGCGGGTCGAAGCCTCAGGCTTAGGGTTTAGGGTTTAGGGTTTAGGGTTTAGGGTGTGTGCCCCTACAGTTTACACTTGGGCCCTTAAGCTACTCTTTAAGGCCCAAGTATGCTCTGAAGCTGCATGGACCTGAGCTGGGTTCGAAGGAGTTGCAAACCTCCACCCAGCCTGAGATGGTGGAGGCATGCTGCTTTTGTAGTTGCGTTGTTGAGGGTTTAGGGTTTCGAGTTTAGGGTTTAGGGTGAGTCCCTTGGACATGTTTGCATGTTCGCCTTTTTGGGTGTTACAAGGTTCATTTCGGACTTCTATATGCCGCGCGAGATGTGTGACCGTCTGCGCTGCAAAGTACAAAATAGGCAGTTGGCAGCGCAGCTAGACCAGCACGGTATCCGAAGTGCAGCTGTAACTTAAGCTCAACCATCAGGTTGCTCTTGGGTTAAGACCTAAATGCCTGCGGCCTTGAGCCCTGTACCTTGAAGAACTTGGAGGGTCACGCGTAGTCTTAATTCTGCGCATAAGCACCCTCCATAAGGGTATAACCCTTTGATGGCCAGAGTTGCCCCGCACCCCAAGCCATAATGCCCTAAGGGTCCAGCTGTAGTACCACTATAGAAGTAGGCACCCAAAAACGCTGCTACCTTCGGTGTTTTTGTTATGTACCTGTTATTCCATAGCAGTACGTGCTACGAATAGACCCTCAGGGTAGTATAACTCGCCATGAACCTCCTAGAACACCCCCTGCACCCTAAGCCGTAAACCGCAAACCCTAAACCCTAAACCCTAAGCCCTAAACCCTAAACCCTAAACCCCAATCCCTTAACCCTAAACCCTAAACCCTTAGCCCTAAACGCGAAAGCAAGGAGCCGCCTCAGATGTCCGATGATGGCCCGCGCCTTAGCAGAGCGCCGCCGTACCGGGGTAAGTAGGGTTCGGGGTTTGGGGTTTGGGGTTTGGGGTTAGGGGTTAGGGGTTTAGGGTTTAGGTTTTACGGTTTAGGGTTTAGGGTTTAGGGCTACAATGTGAAGGGTTTAGGGCGTATGGCTGTTTGGGGTTTGGGGTTTGGGGTTTGGGGTTTGGGGTTTGATGTTTGGGCATGCGTTTGGTTTATTTCGAGCAGTTAGCCAAGACGGGCATCAGTGTTTAGGAAGGTACCTGAAACTCAACACCACTTTTAAACCCTGAACCCTAAAAGGGGGCTGTCAGTCCTCCCCCCACCCCCCCACCCCCCCACCGCCTGCGCCCCACGCCCAAAAAGGGAACTGCAGCGCGAAGTGATCGACTATGGGCCTGAAGGTAGTTACATCCCAGGAGTCCCAATACCCAGAGACTCCAAAACCCCTTAGTTAAGGAATACCCCTTAAATTATGATAAGAATCCTAAAATGATTAATGAAGTGATTTTGGAGTCTCTGGGTACCCCTGAATGAAGGAAAGAAACATGAAAGGGTTCCTTTTACATGGTTTAAGGTATATTAGGGCTTAGGGTTGAGGATTTAGGGGTCAGGGTTTAGGGTTTAGGATTCTGGGTTTTTCGGGCTTAGGATCTAGGATCCCGGCATTTAGGTCAGTTGCTCGAGCAGTCTCCGTTTTTGAAGAGGCTTGGGTTGTGCCTATGTCTGGGGCTTCCGGTTTGATTTAGGGCTTAAGGGGACACCCTAAACCCTAAACCCTAAACCCTAAACCTTAAACCCTTGCACAAACAACTCTAAGTTTGTAGGCTGGGGCGATGACTTCGGCTTCGATGATGACGCCCGGGCCTTGACATTTCACTTGGGATAAGGGCTTAGTTGCTGAGTGAGTACACTTTACACTGTTTGGGATACCATAATCCCCTATAGAACTGAAAGTGTACACTTTTTTTGGGGGCTTATTAACTCAGCAACTAAGAGGGGCTTTGGAGCTTGTACGGGGTTTACCTGGGACCCTATTCTTGGCTTCCTTCTGGCTGGCTCTTAGGGCTTTAACCCTTTGGGATTTTGTAGAATCTACAAGAAGGAGAGCCTAAACCCTAAACCCTAAAACCTATTAACTTTTAGGAGGGGTTCAGAAGTCAGCCAAATATTTTTGCGGGTTGAGGAGGCTTACAATGCCATGTCATGACGTGTAGGGCGATGTCGCCACCAAAGCTGATATCGTTGGGGCTGTCGATAGGGGTCCCTGTTCCTAAACAGGGATTACTTGGGCCTTCAAGTACCTCCTCTATAGGGACTTTGGGGCCCAAGCACAGCAAAAATAGCTCTCAACCCTAAACCCTAAACTAAACCCTAAACCCTAAACCCTAAACCCTAAACCCCTAAACCCCTAAACCCCTAAACCCCTAAACCCTAAACCCTAAACCGGCAACCTGCCTCCGGTTGGCCAGCGTTGCTGGTGGAGCACATCTGGCATGGTATTCATGGAGGCTTTCATGAAGCCCCGTGTTCTGATAGGGGGTTTCATGGGGCTTCCGAAAGCAGAGGTACCCTTTTTAGGGGTTCCTGTTGTAGTATTTGGGGGGTGTATTGAGGTACCCCTATTTTGGGACATGCCGATATCGTAGACCCTAATCCCTTCAAGTGGAAGACTTTGCCCTCTGATTCCATGCTAGGCTACTAAACAATCAACACCTCGAAGACACTCTATAACAGACCAGGCTTTAAGTGTACGTTCCTGTTGTAGAGATACAAACCTGCATGAACCTTAAGGGTTATAGGGCTATCGAGTTTACACTCGAGAGAGAGACGTGCCCCCAATGTGACACGCTGTATGGGTGCTGCTTGGGATGCTCCCCCTTATATACTAATAGGGGTTCTAGTACCCCATATTATAATCCCTATTAAAGACTGTTAGTATAAGGGGGACCATCGTAAGTGCTACCCCATATACAACCACTTGTAAGTAAAGTTCCCCTATTCATCACAACCCTAGGTACAGCAACCCAGTAGCCTCCAAGTATGCCAGGTCCTCTCCCCCAAGCCCGCCAAGCAGGCCACGGGCAGCGGGTTTGGGGCACGCAGAGTGACGGGATTGGGTTGGGTGTTTTTGCTGGTTCACGCTAGGGGCTGAGGGTTTTAGAGTTTCGGATTTCGGTTCAGGGCTTAGGAACCCCTAAACCCTGAACCCCAAAACTACATGGATTGCACATGATCATCTGACGCTCTTCGGGTTCTGGGCAGCATCTGCACTTGAACCCTAAACCCTACATCTCATGGAGCCTGATGCTACCCAAAACCTCAAGTCTCAAAACCCTCCCTGAAGCGTAAACCCCTAAACCCTAAACCCCAAACCCTAAACCCTAAATTCTAAACTCTAAACCCTACACCCTAAACCCTAAACCAACCTCGAAGAGCTCAACTCGAAACCCCTGGTAGGAGTTCGAGGAGCCAGGAACGGTCGACGCCAGAGTCTGAGAGCCCAAGTTCACGTCGTAGCCCTGTTTCTACTATTTGCTTGAGAACCCCGAAAAATAAAGTACTATTCCTTATGAAGGGGAATACAGGGATGATTATCTTTTGTTCTTTTGGGATTCTTAAGCACATAGTAGTTTTGGGGTTTGGAGGGTTTCAGGTTCGGGGGTTAGGGAAATTTTCTCCCGCTGTATTGAAATCCATACATACTTATATGTATCTATATGTATACATACATATGTATATACATATGTATATATACAAATTATGTTTTTTGTTTCAATTTTCCTATCTTTTCATTTATGTATTTATTCATTTTCTTATTTTGTCTTTATGTATTTTCTATGTTTTGTATTTATTTGTTTATGTATGTTTTCTTTAGTTGTTTAGTTTTTTTATTTATTTATGTACTAATATTCATATATATATATATATGTATATATATACATGTATGTATATGTATATGTATGTGTGTGTGTGTGTTCCTCCCACTTTCTTGAAATCTATTTTTTATACACATATATGTGTGTATATATAAAGCTATATTTCTACAGGTTCCCAGGTGAGTGTATTCATTCGAGGTATATTTGCGTAAAGCTCCCTTGACTCTCAACCTTCTTACTTATTAAGTAAGAAGGTTGAGAGTCAAGGGAGCTTTACGCACCCAGGACCGAGGACCCAGCGGTACCGCTTTTGTCTTTTAGTAGGATTCCATGGTTCTTTCTGGGTTTAGGGTTTAGGGTTTAGGGTTTAGGGTTTAGGGTTTAGGGCCTTGGGGATTCCCCTCAACACTTTGACTCTCTTGCATGCGACGTGTGAGCACGCGGACCTGGCTTTCTCCTTCCTTGTGTGCCTCAGCAGTCTTCTTGTTTAATGCAAGGGCCTTACCTAGCTAAAATAGGCTTTTGGGGGCTTGTTAGAATTTTCCATATAAAGGGAGCCTTTAAGGAATGCTATTGGTAGTTCTTCCGACACCTACATTAGGTTGTCTAGGTTACTGCCCTCGAAGGTGCGCGGAGACTTTTGCCGAGTTGTGATGCCAGAACTCCCCATGTTGCCTACCATTGCAGTCGTTTGAACTTAGGCTCTACTTGGAGGATCGGGGCGTTTAGTACGTAGGGTAATAAATACCTTAATGGGGGTTATAAGTAATTAGGAGTATAGTGACCTACATATAGCCAGTCTCCCTAAACCCTAAACCTTAAACCCTAAACCCTGTTTAGCCCTGTGTAGTCCGATGTTTACGATAAACCCTAAACCCTAAACCCTAAACCCTAAACCCTAAACCCGGGGCTTGCTTGCGGCAGAGCATGCCTTCAGGAGTTCGCGGAGCCAGAGGTCGTCGAGGCGCTAGCCCAACCCCTCGCCCTACTTGGAGGTTCATGGAACTTATAAGCCATTTGAAACTGTACTTATAGCCCTCTCACTTAGCAACCCCTTATTTTCCCTCATGTGGGTAGAATTCGGTTATAAGTGCAATACTATTTGGTTAGTAAGTACCATGAGAACCTCCAAGTGGTCACTGGACTCACAGCTGCTACTTTGACATGCCAACTTGCATCGTGCTCTGAGTTTGTTGGCAATGCTCGCACTGCGTGAAGTTGACAAACACATCTTGACGCAGAAGCCCTACTTGGTCCAAGGCGCCCAAGCAATCAGAGGTGGCGGAGGAGGCCATCGAAAAATCAGCCGGGGGGGGGGGGGGGGGGGGGGATTCTCTCTGAATTTCATCGGTTCACTTTGTGGGTCCCTTCATAAGTATTGCACTTTATAAACGGACCACCCCGAAAGCACCCTAATTTTCAGAACTGCACAAATTGGGTGTTTACGAAAGTAGGGGATCCTAGAATAGCCCCTCAAATAGTAGGATCCCCTTATAAAAAAGGACCACAATAAGGCTCAATAAGGTACTTGGCCCCCAAAGTCCCTATACAAAGGAAGTACTTCAAGGCCTAAGTATCCCTAGTCAGGTACATGGACCCTTAAGGGTAGATACCCTGGCCCAATGTGACTATACTTGGAGGTTCATGGGTAGTTGGAAGAAGGGGAACAACTGGGATAGCTCTGTATGGTTGTAACCTTATCTAGTGGTACTCAGAACCCCATGTACCACTACCCATTGAACCTCTAAGTATGAGCCAGGTAGGGTCTTTTATTATGGTCTTCTTACGGTGTTCGGTGTGTGTATATATATATATAGGGCTACTTGTAGATACTGGCGCATGTACATATTGGGTGTCCATTGGGGATACCAGCCATGAACACCCCGCTTGAAAGTTCACGGGACTTGCTACTTGGTTCAAACTGGGGTCATCATGTCATAATATTCATCGATCGTCCCCTGGCTGGCCGTATACAAGCTGCTTTATACCCCTACTTTGGACCTTCTGCATTTAGTAAGCCCCATGAACCTTCGAGTACACCCTGACAAGTACACCCCAAGCCCTAAACCCGAAAACCCCAAAGCCCCGAATACAGCCAGCTACCAAGCCTCATGTACTTTGTAGACCACTTGGGGGCCCTAAAGCAAGTACCGGGGGATCCTCTGAACTGGAGCCGAAGTTGCCGTGCCTCCGCAGGACTTTGTTGAGCCAGAGGTGGTCCGGGGGCTTAACACCTCTCCCCCCCCCCACCCCCCTCCCCCCTCCCCAAAACGGGGGGGATTCTTTGAATTTGGGGCTCCTTCAGGGTGGCTTAGACTCTAAGCGTCCATGTATTTGTTGTGTATACTTGGGCCTTAAGTTGTTCCTGTATAGTGGCTTTGGTGCCCAAGTATATACTACACAGGTACATGGACCCTTAGAGATACGCAAGGCATGGTATCATAGCAGTATCCCCAGAAAAGACCCCTTCTACTTGGAGGTTCGTGGATGGCTGCAACTGGGCTTAGATGCAGGGTAGTTATCAATGTCTCCAGCCTTGTCTAGGCTGCTTGTTAAAAGTTGTACCCATAGCTACCTATAAATCTTCCAAGAGCCTTCCAAAATATATCCGAAACCCCATAAACCCTACAACCTAAACACGGAAATTCCCCAAAACCCTACAACTCGAAGTCTCCATGCACCCTAGAACCTACACCCTAATCCCTAAAGCCTAAACCCTCAACCCTAAACCCCAACCCGAATATGGGTAGTTCTCTATGTTAGGCTCACTCTTGGGGTCCTTCTTGTACGAGTGCTGGTACTAGAGGAGCCCCCCCCAAAAAACGGACCCACCTCTTTGAGAGCTACCCATATACCAGGGGCCCTGTAGCTGCCATGAAGGAACCTCTTTCGCGCCCGGTTTAGGGTCTGGGGTTTAGGGTTTAGGGTTTAGGGCTTAGGGCTTAGGGCTTAGGGCTACATGGGCACTTTGGGCTACGCACTTTGGACATCAAGTTTAGGGATGAACAGCAGGACCCTAAATCTCTAATCCCTAAACCCTTAAACCATGAAGCCCTCAAACCCTTGAGCCCTTAAGCCCTTGAAGCTCATTCGGTTTAGGGTTTAGGGTTTAGGGTTCAGGGTTCAGGGTTTAGGGTTAAAACGCTCTCCGATCGATCGTTCTCCAAAGGCGTCCCAGCCGGAGGCGTCACAGGAGGAGGCCATGGTTCTTAGCTTCATCATGGGGGCCAAAGGCTTATGGTTTTTATGGTTGAGGTTGGGATGTACCCCCTTTTACTAGCAGTCCTTGTGGTAGGGATACTAACAGGGGGGGGAGGTAGTATAATCCCTATGAAGGGCTGTTCGTATAAGGAGCAACATCCCAAAGTTTAGGTTGAGGGCTTGGGGTTTGTAAGGTTTGGTGGATGCAAGGTTTGGGGGTTTGGGGTTTGTAAGGTTTAGGCTTGGGCCTTAGCGTTTCGAGGGTTATTGAATGCACCCGCAGGTTAGCAAACTATCTAGATTAAGGGGTAGAAGGATGGACCCATGAAGGGACCCTTAATCTTTTTCCCCTATATAACCCCCATATACCTCAGAAGGGTCCCTGCTTTTGTCCCTTGGAGTATAACTCCTCCTGTGAGACCCTATGGTAACCTAGCGGCAACGAAGTAGGTGTCCGAGTCTCCCGGTAAGCCGAGGGTCCATCTGGGTGGAGAACTGTATGGAGGGCTTACCGCTTAGGGCGACACCTTCGGGATACTTTGTGGATGTGGATAGGGCTCTTCCTTGTCGTCTCTACATTAAACCCAAACCCCCTAAACCCCTAAACCTCTAAACCTCTAAACTCCTAAACCGCAAACCCTAAACCCTTCAAAAAGTGACCAGGACTCCGCTGAGCCAGGGACTGCCGAGTCCTCAGTCGTCCTTACGGCACGCGGCCCGATCCCAGCGCAACGCCACTGTCTGACAACTGGGTATGGTCAGTCTGGTCAGTTCTCTCAATTATGTCCGTTTATGGGGTACCCCCAATATTTGGTACCCAAAAGGGCCTATATTTTAGAGAAGAGACCATATGTTCCCTTGTTGGGTGTCGGCAACAAGGCGCTTCTGTCCGAATTTTCTGTTTCTTGTTTAAGAGTGTGAGATCTGACTTAGGATTTTCCCCCTCAAATATAATCCCCATTACGGACTGTTAGTATCAGGGTAAACATCCCAACCCTAAACCCTAAACCCTAAGTCCTATAAGCCCTCAGGGTAAACATCCCAACCCTAAACGCAATCCCTAAACCCTAAACCCTAAACCCTCAGTCCTATAAGCCCTTTTAAGGACTGTTAGTATAAGGGGGATCATCCCAACCCTAAAACCTAAAGCCTAAAGCCTAAACTCTGAACCCTAAACCCTAAACCCTCAGTCCTACAAGCCCTTTTAAAGGGCTGTTAGTATAAGGGGGATCATCCCAACCCTAAACCCTAAACCATAAGTCCTACTAGCCCTTTTGAAGACTGTTCCTATAAGATCCGACTTTTTCCGAGGCTTTCAAGGAGCCTGAGGTGGTCGAGGAGGCCGTCTCGGTCCTGTTTGTAGGGAAACGGGATAGGGTTTTGCGTTTTGCGTTTTGCGTTTTGCGTTTTGCGTTTAGCGTTTAGGGTTTAGGGTTTAGGGTTTAGGGTTTAGGGTTTAGTTGGGTTCGTGGTACTTCAGAACCCAATTAGAACTATACTTATAGAACAGTGAGAACTATATTAGGGCACTTAAAGGGCTGATAAGTGGGTTGTTAGTACAGTTATAATTGGGTTACAAGTACCATGACCCTCCACTCTTGGTTTGAGCGGCGGAGTCGTCGATGCTGAAATTAGTTCCGATAAAGCAGGGAGACAGCCACGAGGAAGCGGATCAAGCTACTGTTTGCGCAGTTGCCGAGGCAATGGCCCCAAACCCTAAACCCTAAACCCTAAACCCTAAACCCTAAACCCTAAACCCTAAACCCTAAACCCTAAACCCTAAACCCTAAACCCTAAACCCTAAGTGCATGCAGCATGCCCTCTGCAGGAGGCCCTGGGAGAGCCAGAGACCGTCGAGGCCTTCCCTGGCTGTGCAATGCTGCGCATCTTTCTACACCACTTTCTTTAACAGTCCATTCAGTCCATAGGGTTTAGGGTTTAGGGGTTAGGGTTTAGGTTTTAGGGTTTAGGGTTTAGGGTTTAGGGTTTAGGGTTTAGGGTTTAGGGTTTAGGGTGTAGTCATTGCTTCAGCAACTGCGGAAGACCCTATGGGTCCATGTACCTAAATAGGGTATACTCAGGCCTCGAAGTACTTCCTATATAGGGACTTGCGGCCCACGTATACAATACTGAGGTACATGGACTCTTAGGGTTTCATGTGCTTGGCAAGCCATTGAAGTGCCACAGCCCATCTTTAACTTTCCTTCCGAAGGTCCCCAAGCCAGAGGCAACGGAGGCAGTGGAGGAGGCCCCTTGACTTCCAGCCGCCAGCTTCAAGATAGAGTAACTTGTCCACGTGTGAGACAGTTGCAGAAAACGAGATGTGTAAACTCAGTGGCAAATCTAGTCGAGCACCTATGGCTGGTTTAGAGCGGTGGATAGCAGTTGCGTCTGTGCTGGCTGGGCGGGCTCTGTGAAGCACAGCTGCAACATGCGCTGACCAGGACTTCTGGGCCGTGGCGGCCTTAAGTTAAGGGTCAATAACCCGACGCGTCCCGACTTCCCAACCACCGCAGCATGAGCTTCTGGGCCATGATTCCGATTTGGCATCGTTTGGCAATTCGGCTGCTTCTCCCTACGATGTCCCGCTTCTTGTGCAAGGAACTCAAGCAGCCAGAGGTGGCCAAGGAGGCCCACTCCGCACAACCTCTTAAGCAACAGACGGGGGGATGAGCGCAGCAGCAGCAGCAGCAAGCCCTCCGCAGGACGTGGTAGAGCCAGAGGCCGTCGAGGCCTTGACCCGAAATTCCTCAACGCCACGGTAATCCTCTGTCCCTATCCAGACGTCACTGCAGTCATCTCCTGACACCTTCTGGTGATGCGTGGTGCATCTCGTGCATCTCTTTACACATGCTATGACCTGCATGCCTGTTGGCAGTCACGCTACCATAACATTTGCATGTCCAAGCCATTGAGCCCATCCTTTTACGCGCTTAAAAGCAGAGGCGGCGGAGGCAACGGCGGAGGCCCTCGCGCTTCGTGTTGCGACAGCTCCACGATCGACAAATGACAACATCTGCAGCCAATTTGGTGCGCACCAGGACTTTGCTGAGCCAGAGGCTGTCGAGTCCTCAGATGTCTCTCATGATCACTGTGTTTTGGCGAGACGCCCAACGCCAGCTTTTGGGACGCACTTTGTTTTTTTTGCAGCGCGCGTCGGCACCAAGGCGCTTCAGCGCGCTTTTCTGATTTGTTTCAAGTGTGTATAATATCTGATTTCCGAGGCTTTCAACGAGCCAGAGGTGGCCGAGGAGGCCGCCTGATTTTGTTTGGAGGGAACCTCGATAGATAGTTGTGGTCTTCCCATGTCTTCGTTGGTTTGAGCGGTGGTGTTGTCGATGCTCAACTACATTTACAGCAGGGATACTGCCACGAGGAAGCGGATCATGCTAGCTTTTTGCGCAGTTTTTGAAACAATGGGCGCATGCAGCAAGCCTCTGCAGGATGTGGGAGAGCCAGAAGCCGTCGAGGCCTTCCCTGCGCCACAGCATACAAAGACAGTTAAACCCTCGCCTCCCGTCTCCCCACACCACTGTCACATGCTTGGCCACAGCCCAAGTTTTGAGCTGCTGTGACATTTCCGTCCGAAGGTGTCCAAGCCAGAGGCAACGGAGGCAGCGGAGGAGGCCCCTTTGTAACCATTCGAGCTATAGCTGCATAGCTTGAAGTTCGAGTAACTTGTTGGTGTGCCGTGCTTCCAGTGTCAGATTTGCTGGAGACAGTTGCAGAAACCGAGATGTGTAAACGAGTCCGTCGCAAATCTAGTCGAGCACTTGTGGCTGGTTCGGAGGTGAGCTTGCAAGGGTAAGCGGCGGATAGTTGTGTATATAGTGGGTGGGCTCTGTGAAGCACAGCTGCAACAGTTCGCTGCGCGCCAGGACTTCTGGGCCGTGGCGGCCTTAGCCCGCGGCGCGTTCACGACTTCTCACACGGACCATGATTCCGATTTGGCATCATTTGGCAAGACGGCGGTTTCCCCTTTTGCCTTTTGCGATCTCCCCAGGCACTGAAGCAGCCAGAGGTGGCCAAAGAGGCCTGCTTGAAAGCCCACATTTTTCTGAACAACCCCTGAAATAATGGGAGCGTACGCAGCAGCAAGCCCTCTGCAGGACGCGGGAGAGCCAGAGGCCGTTGAGGCCTTGACCCGAAATCCCTCAACGCCGCAGCAATCCAGGGCATGCATAGAGTCCTGGCAGACACCTCCACGGTGATGCACGGTGCATGTCGCCTGTATTCTCTACTCGTGCTACGACCTGCATGCATATGTTAGCAGTCACGTTTTGCGTGTTCAAGCCATTGCGCCCGTCCTTTTCGGCGCTTATAAGCAGGCAGAGGCAACCCAGGCAGAAAAGGCAGCGGAGGAGGCCCTCGCGCTTCGTTTTGAGATAGCTCGACGTGCAATTGTGATGATGGGCCGGGTGGCTCTCCAATGCTCTCCAGACAGCATCTGCAGCCAATTTGATGCACGCCAGGACTTTGCTGAGCCAGAGGCTGTCGAGTCCTCAGATATCTCCGCGTCGGCAAGAAGGTGCTTCTACCAGTACGTTTTTCTCCCTTGAAGATCTGATTTCCGAGGCTTTCAACGAGCCAGAGGTGGCCGAGGAGGCAGCCTTTTGGAGGGAACCTGTTGTAGATGCTGAAATGCATTGCCATACAGCAGGGATACTGCCGCCCGCGTCAGGATGTGGGAGAGCCAGAAGCCGTCGAGGCCTTCCCTGCGCCGCAGCATACAAAGACAGTTAAATTTACAGCCTCGCCTCCCAGAAAGGCCCATAAGGCTGTGCGATCCTGTGCGTCTCCCTACACCACTGTCACATGCTTGGCCACAGCCCAAGTTTTGAGCTGCTGTGACATTTCCGTCCGAAGGTGTCCAAGCCAGAGGCAACGGAGGCAGCGGAGGAGGCCCCTTTGTAACCATTCGAGCTATAGCTGCATAGCTTGAAGTTCGAGTAACTTGTTGGTGTGCCGTGCTTCCAGTGTCAGATTTGCTGGAGACAGTTGCAGAAACCGAGATGTGTAAACGAGTCCGTCGCAAATCTAGTCGAGCACTTGTGGCTGGTTCGGAGGTGAGCTTGCAAGGTTAAGCGGCGGATAGTTGTGTATATAGTGGATGGGCTCTGTGAAGCACAGCTGCAACAGTTCGCTGCGCGCCAGGACTTCTGGGCCGTGGCGGCCTTAGCCCGCGGCGCGTTCACGACTTCCCCACCTCCGCAGCACGAGTTTGTCACGCGGACCATGATTACGTTTTCGCACCATTTGGCAAGACGGCGGTTTCCCCATTTGCCTTTTGCGATCTCCCGAGGCACTGAAGCAGCCAGAGGTGGCCAAAGAGGCCTGCTGAAAGCCCACATTTTTCTGAACAACCCCTGAAATAATGGGAGCGTACGCAGCAGCAAGCCCTCTGCAGGACGCGGGAGAGCCAGAGGCCATTGAGGCCTTGACCCGAAATCCCTCAACGCCGCAGCAATCCAGGGCATGCATGTCTAACACGTTTGCCCCGGCGCGCTCTGTTCAGAATAGAGTCCTGGCAGACACCTCCACGGTGATGCACGGTGCATGTCGCCTATATTCTCTACTCGTGCTACGACCTGCATGCATATGTTAGCAGTCACGTTTTGCGTGTTCAAGCCATTGCGCCCGTCCTTTTCGGCGCTTATGAGCAGGCAGAGGCAACGCAGGCTGAAAAGGCAGCGGAGGAGGCCCTCGCGCTTCGTTTTGAGATAGCTCGGCGTGCAATTGATGATGGGCCGGGTGGCTCCCAATGCTCTCCAGACAACATCTGCAGCAAGTTTGGTGCACGCCAGGACTTTGCTGAGCCAGAGGCTGTCGAGTCCTCAGATATCTCCGCGTCGGCAAGAAGGTGCTTCTACCAGTACGTTTTTCTCCCTTGAAGATCTGATTTCCGAGGCTTTCAACGAGCCAGAGGTGGCCGAGGAGGCAGCCTTTTGGAGGGAACCTGTTGTAGATGCTGAAATGCATTGCCATACAGCAGGGATACTGCCGCCCGCGTCAGGATGTGGGAGAGCCAGAAGCCGTCGAGGCCTTCCCTGCGCCGCAGCATACAAAGACAGTTAAATTTACAGCCTCGCCTCCCAGAAAGGCCCATAAGGCTGTGCGATCCTGTGCGTCTCCCTACACCACTGTCACATGCTTGGCCACAGCCCAAGTTTTGAGCTGCTGTGACATTTCCGTCCGAAGGTGTCCAAGCCAGAGGCAACGGAGGCAGCGGAGGAGGCCCCTTTGTAACCATTCGAGCTATAGCTGCATAGCTTGAAGTTCGAGTAACTTGTTGGTGTGCCGTGCTTCCAGTGTCAGATTTGCTGGAGACAGTTGCAGAAACCGAGATGTGTAAACGAGTCCGTCGCAAATCTAGTCGAGCACTTGTGGCTGGTTCGGAGGTGAGCTTGCAAGGTTAAGCGGCGGATAGTTGTGTATATAGTGGATGGGCTCTGTGAAGCACAGCTGCAACAGTTCGCTGCGCGCCAGGACTTCTGGGCCGTGGCGGCCTTAGCCCGCGGCGCGTTCACGACTTCCCCACCTCCGCAGCACGAGTTTGTCACGCGGACCATGATTACGTTTTCGCACCATTTGGCAAGACGGCGGTTTCCCCATTTGCCTTTTGCGATCTCCCGAGGCACTGAAGCAGCCAGAGGTGGCCAAAGAGGCCTGCTGAAAGCCCACATTTTTCTGAACAACCCCTGAAATAATGGGAGCGTACGCAGCAGCAAGCCCTCTGCAGGACGCGGGAGAGCCAGAGGCCATTGAGGCCTTGACCCGAAATCCCTCAACGCCGCAGCAATCCAGGGCATGCATGTCTGACACGTTTGCCCCGGTGCGCTATGGATTCCTTGCATGTCGCCTGTTTTCTCTACTCGGCATGCATATGCTAGCAGTCACGTTTTGCGTGTTCAAGCCATTGCGCCCGTCCTTTTCGGCGCTTCTAAGCAGGCAGAGGCAGCGGCAGCGGCAGCGCAGGCAGCGGAGGAGGCCCTCGCACTTCGGTTTGAGATAGCTCGATGTGCAATTGATGATGGGCCGGGTGGCTCTCCAATGCTCTCCAGACAACATCTGCAGCCAATTTGGTGCACGCCAGGACTTTGCTGAGCCAGAGGCTGTCGAGTTCTCAGATGTCTCCGTGTCGGCAAAAAGGTGCTTCTACCAGTAAGCGCTTCTTCTCCCTTGAAGATCTGATTTCCGAGGCGTTCAACGAGCCAGAGGTGGCCGAGGAGGCCGTTTGATCTTGTTAGCAGAGAACCTCGATAGTGTGGGCCTTCCTATGTCTTTGTTTGAGCGGAGGAGTTGCCGTTGCAGGGTTAGTGCCGCGAGCTAGCTTTCGTGCAGTTGCTGAAACAATGTAGGCACGCAGCAGTAACCCTAGGGATCCATGTACCTATATAGCATTTACTTGGGCCCTGAAGCTATGACGTAGGAACCTTTCTAAGGCCCAAGTATATACTACACAGGCACATGGATCCTTAGGATAAGCCCTCTGCAGGACGTGGGAGAACCGGAAGCCGTCGAGGCTTTCCCTGCGCCACATCATACAAAGATATGTTACCCTAGGGTTTAGGGTTTAGGGTTTAGGGTTTAGGGTTTAGGGTGAAGTGCCGCCTCCCATTTTTTTGGTTGAGTTGCTGTGACCTTTCCTTTCGAAGGCGCCCAAGCCAGAGGCAACGGAGGCAGTGGAGGAGGCCCCTTCGCTCCCATTCGAGATGGCTGCTAGTTCAAGATTGGGTAACTTGTTCGTGTGCCGTGCTCCCGGTCGAAGACTTGCTTGAAACAACCACAGAAACCGAGATGCGTAAACGGGTCCGTCACAAATCTGGTCGAGCACTTGTGCGGCAGATAGCAGTTTTGAATATAGTGGCTTGGCGGGCTCTGTCAAGCGCAGCTGCAGCAACGCGCTGCGCACCAGGACTTCTGGGCCGTGGCGGCCTTATAGCCCACAGGATTCCGATTCGGCATCGTTTGGCAACACAGCTGCTTCCCCCTTTGCTTTCTCAGCTCGCCAGCTGATGAGCCATGATGACCCCTATGCTTTTCGAGGCAATCAAGGAGCCAGACGTTGTCAAGGAGGCCCCGAGCTCTTTTTTGGAGCATCCTTGGATAGAATCCGCAGCCCCCTGTGCAACCCCTGAAACGACGCGCAGCAGCAAGCCCTGTGCAGGACGTGGGAGAGCCAGATTCCGTCGAGGCCTTGACCCGAAGTTCCCCAACGCCTCAGCAATCCACCGCATGCATGTCTGCCACCTTTCCCCCCGCACCCTCTCCAGAACAAAGTCGCTGCAGTCATCTCGCAGAAATTGCACGGTAATGCACGGTGCATCTTCCATAGAATCTGGCCTTCATGCATATACTTAGCATTTTGAGTGGCCCCCCCGCCCCCCCACCCCCCCGTGGTCCTTCTGCAGGTGTTCAAGCAGGCATTCAAGCAGGCAGAGGCCGCGGAGGAGTGCCTCGTGGCCGGTTTTGGCTTCAACATGGGTTTAAAGCGCACCAATCCCCACAAACCAATGTCCAAAAACCACCCAAGCCCCAAGCCCTATACTACAAGAATTAGAATAGGTTTTTTTGGTGTTGTTATAGTATACTTCTATAATATATAGGGACCTTAGGACCCCATCATCCCCTCTTCACCCGACAACCCTTTGTGCCAGGACCAGCACGGGCCTTTGGCTTCAACCTCCTGCGCGAATCACCCTAAACCCTAAACCCTAAACCCTAAGCCCCAAGCCCTAAACCCTAAACCCTAAACCCTAAGCCCTAAACCCTAAATCCTAAACCCTGAACCCTAAACCCTAAACCCTAAACCCTAAACCCGAAGCCGCTGCAGTGTGCGGCCCAGCAGGACTTCGCCGAGCCCAAGGCGGCAGCGGTAGAGCCCTCGGCAGAGCTACTTGCAGTTTCAGGGTACGTACAACCCAACTAAAGCTGGTTTAGGGTTTAGGGTTTAAGGTTTGGGTTTAGGGTTTAGGGTTTAGGGTTTAGGGTTTAGGGTAAAAGCTGTACTACTTACAGCCCACATTTCAACCCCTTAGCGACCCTTATATGGTTATAACTGGGATAGAAGTGCAAATACTGTTTGGGTAGTAAGTACCATGAACCTCCAAGTGCAGGTTGGGTCTGATTGGGTTTCGTAGGCTTTCTTTATTAGGGGGTTTAGGGTTTAGGGTTTAGGGTTTAGGGTTTAGGGTTTTGGGTCTTATCGGAGGGTCTTATCGGGTTTTACATGTACGGCTGAGACCAGCGATGATGAGATCTTGCCCAAACATTTTTTCCAAGGCACCCGCGCAGCCAGAGATGGCGCAGGCGCCTGCATGGTGTTGAGTTGGCTGAACCCTAAACCCTAAACCCTAAACCCTAAACCCTAAACCCTAAGCCCAAAACCTTGTGGCCGGCCTGCGGGGCTGTAGCCTCTTAGGCTCGGCAGATCAACGTTATGGATTTGTATGATCCTAAGGGTCCATGTACCTTATGAGTATGTACTTGCGCCCCAAAGTCCCTATATAGGGTATAGGGTTTCGGGTCTAGGGTTTCCCTATTTAGGTACATGGACCCTTAGGCTGATGGACACTCCCCTCATGGGTTCAGGAAGCTCTTCTGGGCTTCTACGTCAGGGTGCAGGTTGAGCTCGAAGGGTTTGGGGTTTAGGGTTTAGGGTCTAGGGTTTAGGGTTTAGGATAGGGTCTAGGGTCTATAAAGGGTCTACAGATTTAGGGCCATTTTCAGGGCTTAGGGTTTGGGGTACAACCTTGCTCCCAGCAGCTTTTAACTGGCTCACAGTCACAGCATGTTGGAGGAGGTCCTAAACAGTTGCCCTGAACCCTAAACCCTAAACCCTAAACCCTAAACCCTAAACCCTAAACCCTAAACCCTAAACCCTAAACCCTAAACTCTACTGTAAATCTGCCAGCTTCCCAGTTCTACTCCCACACTTGGGGCTCAATCCGCATTGCGCGCCCTTGTGGTGCAGCCCTGTTTCCTCTAACCCTAAATGGGTTTAGGGTTTAGGGTTTGGGGTTTAGGGTTTGGGGTTTAGGGTTTAGGGTTTAGGGGTAATTACCCTTTGTTTCGGGCTCCCTTTTAAGGGGATTCTCTTCTATTTGGGGTACCCCTCTTTTGGGAAACGCTCTATGTGTCTAAACGATCTTTTTGAGGATCCCGCTTTCGTAATGCTGCTGTTTGTTCAGACAAAGGGGTTCCACCCTAGGAATTTAGGCTCTCCATGCTCAAAACTCTTGCCCCCTGTGTTCGCAGGCTTCGTCAAAACAGCCGGAGGTGGTGGAGGCTTACCTGAGCTTGTTTGTGCAAGGGCCAGTACTGAGAACTCGGTAGGTCGCTGCAGTCTGCAGTGGGCTCTGAGGTACTCATCCAAAAAGAGATCCCAAACTGAGACCAACTTGGACAAGCTTAGGGTTTCGTGTTTCAAGTGTGGTTCTGTTTCTTCCCGGTCCCACATCACCAAGGAACCCTAAGCCTTGAACCCCCTAAACCCTAAACCCTAAACCCTTAACCCTTAAACCCTAAACCCTAAGCCCCTAACACCCAGCTCGAAAGAAAATAAAAAGCAAAAAGAATCGGGGTTCGGTGGTGCGTAGGTGTAGCCGGTTTAGGGTTTAGTGCATTTTCTTGAGGCAACGGCGCCTTCAACCCCTAAACCCTAAACACTGCAGAGGCTTGTCTTTGCACTGAAGGGCGAAGCTTAGTTTGTAGTGCTTGACCTGTTCATTGTTGGGATGTTCCCACTTATACTAACAGTCCTTCATAGGGACTGGGGTACTACAATCCCCATTAAGGACTGTTAAGGGGGAGCATCCCAAGTTCAGGGTTTCTTAGTCAGGTTAAGTCGGCTTGTTCGGGGCATCAGGCGGCGGCCGTTGTGGGTGCCTCGCAACTAAGCGATGCAGAGATGTTGCGGGCAGGGTTTAGGGTTTAGGGTTTAGGGTTTAGGGTTTAGAGTTCGGGGTTTAGGGTTTGGGGGTTTAGGGTTGGTAGTTCCAAACCCTCAACCTCCCGACAAGCCATGCAACGGGCTTGTGCTTTCTTTCTGGGTTCGTGGTCGATGATCTAAGGGTTCAGGGCCTAAACTTGTGATGTTCAGGGTTTAGGGTTTAGGGTTTAGGGTTCAGTATACTGGATTGTCGTACCCCCCCCCCCCCCATCATAATTCCTATGAAGGACTGTCAGTTTAAAGGGGGGGCATCCCAAGCCTGCACCCTAAACCCTATAGAACCTAAATCTTGCACCCCAAACCCTAAATCCAAAAAACCGTAAAAAACACACTGAAAACACTAAACCCTAAACCCTGTAGAACCTAAATCCTGCGCCCTAGCTCAACCCTGCGCTGTGCCAGGCAAGGGTTCAGGAGCTCCTCGCCAAGCTGGAGCAGGACCGTCTACAGTCTTTCACCCTGGTTTTTAGGATCCAGGCTTCTGGAGGGCTTTGAAAAGGAGCTTTGAGGGCCTGAGGGTTTAAGGGTTAAGGGTTTAGGGCTTACGGTTTAGGGTCCAGGCTTAGGGGGCTTGTGTTTTTTCGCCTGATTGGGGTGGTCGAGGGCTCAGACTTGGGTTTTTGATTTACGTTCGGGTCCTTTTTGGGCACCCCGAAGTAGGTGGAATTGGCCACTGAAGGGGGGTTTAAGGGGGTTTAGGGTTTAGGGTTTAGGGTTTTGGGAGAGGAGTTTTGCCTTTCCCTGTTTCTGGGTTTTTCTGATAAGGAACCCGATTCGAAAGCGGCACCCCATGAGTATCCTTATGTCCGGGGGCTCTGGGAGGGGTTGCTTTCGGACCCTAACCCCAAACCCTAAACCCCAAACCCTAAACCCCAAACCCTAAACCCCAAACCCTAAACCCCAAACCCTACACCCCAAACCCTAAACCCTAAACCCCAAACCCTAAACCCCAAACCCTAAACCCCAAACCCTACAGCGTTGCAGCTCCGACCTCAAAGAGCTGCCCCCTACCTCCCCAGGCCGAAGCGCGAGCCGATGGCGCTGAGGCCTTTGTCGGGTGTACCCCAACACCAAACCCTAAACCCTACAGGGTGGGGCCCCCTTACTATACTAACTGTAGTTAAGGGACTTATAACCTAACTTAGGGTCCTTATAACCCAATTTAGGGCCCTTATACCTCTACTTATAACTAGGGGGCCCCACCCTGTAGGTTTTGGGTAAACCCTAAGCCCTAACCCCTAAACCGTAAACCCTAAACCCTCAGCCCGGAACCCTGAACCTTGAACCCTGAACCCTAACTTTGTCGTTTTTTGAAGATTGGCGAAGGGGGAGGCAGGTGTGCCTGGGTTGATTTAGACTCGTGCATTAGAGCTGTCCTGCAAGCCCCAGTGGTACCCTTTTTCCCCTTTTTGGGGTTCAAGGTTCCTTTATAACGTAACCAACCCAAAGCAGGGTTCCCTTATTCTAATGTTGTTCTAATGGGTTGCTGGGCTACCAAGCCGCGATTGAAGTCGAGTGAAGTTCGCCCGAAGCTCTTGCAGCAGCTTGCCACGAGCACGCAACTGACCGAGCGTGGGGGAGCGTGGCTGCTTTTCAAGCAAAGAAGCCTGAAGAAGTATTATCCCGCACCGAAAGATGTTTTCCGCCTTGCGCCAGGCCCAGCTCGAAGATGCTCGTGGCAAATTGCAGGAGGCACTGTGCACTCATGTGGCCCCTGCCCCCGATGACATCCTATGTCTTGAGTCCTGGTGCATGTCCTTTCTGGTGACCGATACAGGCCGAAGCGCGTGCAGATGGCGCCCAGGCCTTTGCGCGTTGGGAGGGGTGGCACGGTGACCTAACTTGCCGCTTTCTCAGTCACCATCCCCATGCACCAAGTTCAATTCAGGTTAACAGCTGATTTGAGATGGCTTCAGGTTCGCGGTTCTACAGACTGTGCAGGACCCCCATCGTCTTTCGCTGAACGCTCTCACGAAACCTGAAGAAGTACTGTCCGGGTTTTCTTGCCCACCTTGCGCCAGGCCCAACTCGAAGACGTTCGCGGAAAACTGCAAGAGGCACTGTGCACTCATTTGGGCATTTCCCAAAGTAGGGGTACCCCTTTGATACCCCAAATAGAATAGAATCCCCCTAAAGGGGCCCCCCCAAAACGGTCCCATTTAGCCTCTGCCTTTGCACCCTGACCGCCTAGGTCTTCAGTTCTTACCATCCACGAAGCTGGTGCATGACCTACCCAGAGACTCCAAAACCCCTTGATTAAGGAATATACCTTAAATCATATTAGGGTTCCTATTATGATTTAAGGGATATTCCTTAATGAAGGGGTTTTGGAGTCTCTGGGTATTCTTGTGACCGACAGGCCGAAGTGCGTGCAGATGGCGCCGAGGCCTTTGCATGCAGGGGCGAGTGGACACGCCTGGATTTGATATAGCGAAGTCTGTGCATGCGTGGGTGGGTGTGCGTATGTGGGTGGAGGGCGGGCCCCTTCGATGCTGGATTACAGGCACATGGCTATATAGTTCTGAGAGTGGTTTCGTGATTGCCTCAGTTTACCTCACTGTGGCACATTTGGCACCCTGTCAATTACTTCCCCCATGCGCGGTTGAAGGTGACATGATGTGCTTGGTACCCTTTTCCTTTTTTTGGTTCAAGGTTCCCTTATAAAGTAACTATCCCAAAAAAGGGTGCCCTGATTACAAGATGGTTGCTGGGCTACCAAGTATGAGAGGGCTTGAGGCTCCAGGTTTTGCAGGCTGTGCTGGTGCTTTGGAACCCCATGCTCGCCGATAACAACGTGTTGACACCCGAGCTCCGAAGCATGAGGTCCGAGACATTGTAGGGTTTAGGTTTAAAGGGTTTAGGGTTTAGAGGGTTTAGGGTTTAGGGTTTAGGGTTTAGGGGACGATCCTTCGCTGACGGGACCCCACCTTTTTCGTCTTTTCCAACGAAGCCTGAAGAAGTAGTCACCCCACACCGAAGGATCTTTCCCACCTTGCGCCAGGCCCGGCTTGAAGATGTCCGTGGCAAACTGCAGGAGGCACTGTGCACTCATTTGTCCCCTGTCCTTGATGACAGCCTGTGTCTTGAGTCCTGGTGCATGTCCTTTTCTGGTGACCGGTACAGGCCGAAGTGCGTGCAGATGGCGCCGAGGCCTTTGGGTGTAGGGACGAGTGGACACATCCGGGTTCGATTTCACGCATTGTAAGTAGGTCTGCGCGTGTGAGCGAGAGAGTGCGTTGATGGAGAGGCCCTTTGCTTGGTTAAGGGTACAGGGCTAATGTGGTCTGCTGATTAGTGTCCCCCCGCCTCTCAAGAAATGACCCCCCTGTTTAATGTGGGGGCGGGATTTGGGGTGGGGGGGGGTCTGGCTTCACATGATTTTAAAATGGATGAGCTTGTATGAATTTTGAAGGGATCCATACGATTTTAAGAGGGATCAGTTAAGATGAATGTAAAAGGGAACCATGTGACTTTTCAAAGGGCTGAGATTGTATGAAATTGAAAGGGATCCATACGATTTTAAGAGGGATGAATGTATATGAATTTAAAAGGGGTTCATATGATTTAGCAGGGATCCACATGATTTAAACCGGGATGGGTTAATATGGCTTTAAAGGGGATGCATCTATCCCAACCAAGCCAGCCCGCAAAAAAACTCATGTCCGGGGGACCAAACGTCTTATATTATACGGCATTCGGGCAGCTGCTGGACTGCCCCCTTTGAAATTTGATTGCCTGGCCTCGGTACAAAAGCATTTAATCAGGAAATCTTGGCTTTGAGGCTGGCCTGGAGACTTAAGATTTCAGGGCACGACAACCTCAGGTTTCAGGCTTTAAACCTTTGCTCAGGCTCAGATCTTTGGTCTCTCAGGCTCAGTTCAAAAGCGATTTCTAGACAACAGCTCCATTCAACAGCCTCGCCGAAATTTTGCATCGCCCGAATTTTTTTCACAATTCCGGGGGACCTCCTCAATTAGACCCCGCTGAATAATGTTCGGATTTGTTTTTGACAATTCCGGGGGACCACACTAATCAGGATACAACATGATAGCTCTAGACCTGGGATCGTGTTTGCTTCAGTCTGCACCACTGCTGCCGCCTAACTTGCCACCCTAGTTGGAGGTGAGATGGCTTGAGGCTTCAGGTTCAACAGGCCCAATCCTAAACCCTGAACCCTAAACCCTAAACCCTAAACAGGTGGGTGTTGGAACCACATGCTCGCCGCTGACTGCAGAGCCCAAGAACCTGCAGATCGAAGCCCGAAGCATTGTAAAAAACGTATCGTCAATGTATCGTCCTTCGCTGAAGGCTCTGCGCCTTCTCGCCCTGTCCAACAAGAAGCCTGAAGAAGTATTCACCCCACACTTGGAGGTTCATGGTACTTAATATCCAGTTATAACTCTGCTTAGAACCCACTTGCAAGCCCCTCAAGCGCCCTAATATGGTCATATGTACAGTTTTCAGGACAGCTATAATTGGCTATTAACTACCATGAACCTTCAAGCACCTTAGGACCAACCCCGCCTTGCGCCAGGCCCAGCTTGAAGATGTTCGTGGAAAATTGCAGGAGGCACCGTGGACTCATCTGGCCTTTGTCCTGCGCCCTGACAGCCCATCTCCCGAGTTCCTAAGACCCTTAAACCCTAAACCCTAAATCTGGTGTACGGCCTTTTGTGATGACCACCCCTAAACTCTAAACTATAGACCCTACACCCTACAGGCCGAAGCGCGTGCAGATGGCGCCCAGGCATTTGCGCGTTGGGAGGGGTGGCACTGTGGCCTGACTTGCAACCGTTCAGTCACAACCCCATGCACCCAACTGGTGGGGGGGGGGGGGGGGGGGGTTACGATACTAGGGGTAGCTTCTAAGGGTTCTTATTCTTATTATTAGTATTATCCTGATTATCATTTTTTTATTTTTTTAGTATTAGTATTATTACTTTTGCTTTTAGGGAGTTTACTATTTGGGGATCTATCTTGGGATCCCTTATTTTCGTAAACCCACGATGCAGTTCAGGTTACAGGCCAGTTGTTGTGAGATGGCTTCTGGCTCCCGGGGGTGCAGACTGTGCTGGTGGGGTTTGGAACCCCATGCCCTAAGCCCTAAACCCGAAACCCTAAACCCAAAACCCTAGCCCGAAACCCTAAACCCGAAACCCTAAACCCTGCACCCTACACCCTAAACCCGAAACCCTAAACCCTAAGCCCTAAACCCTAAAACCTTAAACCCTACACCCTAAACCCTAAACCCCTAAACCCTAGCACCCCAGCCATCCTGCATCGTCCTTCGCTGAAGACCGGAACACCTTCTCGCACCTTCCAGACAAGAACTACTATTTGCTCAAGAACCCTCCCCCCCCCCCCCCCCCCCCTAAAAAACACAAAAAAGCACACACGATGTCCTAAAATTTTGCCTTTATACTATACGCAAGAATATACATTTTATTTTTGAGGGGTTCTTGAGCAATTCGTAGAGAGAGCAGCCTGAAGAAGGATTAGCTCTTTTCCCTCCTTCTGCCAGGCCCAGCTCGAAGACGTTCGTGGGAAACTGCACGAGGCACTGTGCACTTCTCTCCCGAGTTCTACTGAAACCCAAAAACCCTAAACCCTAAACCCTAAACCCTAGACCCTAGACCCTAAACCCTAAACCCTACGGCGCGTCAGGGTCCATGTACTTGGGCCTTACAAGTACCTCTTATAGAGGGACTTTGGGGCTCAAGTGCAGAATACTGAGGTACATGGACCCTTAGGGTTTAGGGTTTAGGGTTTAGGGTTTAGGGTTTAGGGTTTAGGGTTTCCCTAAACCCTTAAACCTGTATCCAACTCTGGTGTGACAGGCTGATGCTCGTGCAGATGGCGCTGAGGCCCTTGCCTACGGACAGACTCGGACAGAGCGGCGGTCAATTTAGGGTTTAGGGTTTAGGGGCTTGATTGACATTTGCCATGTGCAGCGCATCCGCGTTTCTACACATAGCATCTGGCCTCCTACAGTAAACCCTAAACCCTGAACTGATCGCAACTTTGTTGACAATTTCTTGGCCACTTGTAGCGATTGTGACAGACTTGGTCATTTTCGGTTTGCTTTGGTTTAGGTGTTTTTTGACCTGCAGCTCAGATTTCAGGCTAACTTGACCCTAAGCCCGATGTCCTAAACCCTAAATCCGTAACCCTACAATCCTAAACTCCACATCTTTATACCCCCCCCCCCCCCCCCCCACCCAAGAACCCTTAGGCGTCAAGACATACCTTGGAATTCGGTTCAGGATTCAGGGTTGAGGCTTTGCGGGTTCAGGGTTCAGGGATCAGGCCGGGAGGGGAGCCGGGTCGAGGAAGTGAGGGTTGGAAGGTCCCTGTCTCAAGCAACGGGGTCAGGTTTCTTTTAGGGGTTTTCGGGCTTTCGGTTTCTGAACCCCAGACCCCGAACCCTAAACCTCTGAGCCCAACTGCCCCCCAACCTCCTGAAGACCCTCAAGCCCCGAACTCACAAGCCCTAAGCTCCTAAGCCCACATAAAGCCGCATGGCCCTAAACCCTAAACCCTAAACCCTAAACTCACCCCCGGAACACCCTGGAAGCCCCATCACAGGCAAAAGCTGCCGCTGCAGAGGCTCGGAAGCAAGAAGATATCGAATTGAGGGTTTACGGTTTAGGAGTTAGGGTTTAGGGTTTAGGAGCTAGGGTTTAGGGTTTAGGGTTTAGGGTGTGGAGTGTAGGGTGGTTAGGGTTTAGGGTGTTGAGGGTTTAGGGTTCAGGCTTTAGGCAGTCAGGTGCCTCTGGGATGGTTTTTGAGTTTCAGCATCGGGCGCCGCAGGGCTTCAATGTGTTTGGGCTTTGTCTGACTTCGAACCCCCGTGGCTTCGAGACCTGTAATCGCCAACCCTGTGCCCGAAGCCCTAAACCCTAAACCCTAAACCCTAAACCCCCTCAACTTCACGCCGCAAGCGAGCCCGAGAGCTGAACCCCTTGACCCCAAACCTAGAAACCTTGCACCCCAAATCCAGAAAAGTGTTATACCTCTGCGGTTTAGGGTTTAGGGTTTAGGGTTTAGGGTTAGGGTTTATGTAGGGTTTAGGGTTCAGGGTTCAGGGTTCCCCCACTTCCTTGAGTTGGAAACCTTAATCTCCAGTTCTTCGCAATCTAAACCTGCAGAGAGCCATAAACCTCCAAACCCCGACACCCTAAACCCCCAAACCCGCGAAACTGGCAAAGCTCCCTTGAGCCACATGAAGTAGGGCTTATGTTCCTTGTATCCCCAAAAGGACACCCCAAAAACACACACCAAGCTTACAAAGGAACCGTAAATGCACTCACCAATCAACTCCGTTTCACATGCTTAGGTGGCAGCTGCAAAGGCGCACAACGGGCACACGGCTTGTAGGGCTTTCGGGTTGAGGGTTTCCAACAAAAAGGTTTAAGGTTTAGGGTTTAGGGTTCAGGGTTCAGGGTTCAGGGTTCAGGGTTCAGGGTTTGAAGGTTTCCAACAAAAAATGGTGGGGTGTTGGGGTTCAGGGTGTTGGGGGGTTGTTCGCCAAACGCTGCACTCTATGCAACCGGAGCCATGCAACCCGAGGCATCGAACACCACAAAGCTTGAGCCTCATAAACCTAAACCCCACATTTCGTGAGCCAAAACGTTGGGTTCAGGGGTTTAGGATGTATAGGCTGTATGGCAAGGTTTTCGGAGTGCAGGGTTTTGATGCAGATGGCTTGTTACAGCGGAACTTTACTCATTTCCAGCTGGGCAAATCGGCAAACAACAAAGACTTTGTAACTAGTGAAGCTTATATATGGGCATTTCCCAAAATAGGGGTACCCCTTTTCTACCCCAAAATAGAATAGAATCCCCTTAAAGGGACCCCCACGAGGGGTACCGCCAGGGCTGCAGGGGCTTAGCCGTTTCGTATCGGAACAGGCCGAGGCGCCAGCAAACGTCACTGAGGCCATCGGGTGTTGCCCGAGGGTTGGTTCAGATCTCTTGGAGGTACCTAGGGAACCTTAGGATGCTTGGGTTACATACCCCCTTGAACCCCCCTCCCTTAAGAACCCTACAACTTTAGGGTTTAGAGTTTAGGGAGGGGTTGCGGAGGTGCAGCTGTTGATTGGGGTTTGGGGTTTGGGGTTTAGGGTGCCTTTAGCTGATATTCGGGGGTATTACCCGCTTCAACTTGCACATCTATAGATCCCGAATCCCTAAACCAGCTTAGGGTGTTTAAGGTCTTTTTAGGGTCTTTTGGGTTTGGGGTTTCTGGGGTTTCTAGGTTTTTGCTGGGGTTTGGGGAGGGGGGATTGTATGTGGACCTGCTGGAAGCTCCTTAGCTGATAGGTTTCGCAAAAGAAGGGAACCTTAGGGAAGCTTAGGGAACCTTAGGGAGTAGTGGGGAGTATTTGGGAAACCTTGGGTTACATACCCCCATTGAACCCCGGAAACCCTAAACCCTAAACCCTAAACCCTAAACCCTAAACCCTAAACCCTAAACCCCAAGGGTTTCAAGGATGAACCTGGCTCTTGGCAGGTGCGGCTCGCCGACTTGGAGGACTGCCCTCGCTCGGTGGGCTACTTCCTGGTTCTTGGCAGGGAATGAGGTACCTTGTATGTAGGGTTTAGGGTTTAGGGTTTAGGGTTTAGGGTTTAGGGTTTAGGGTTTAGGGTTTAGGGTTTAGGGTTTAGGTTTTGGGGTTTTGGGGTTTGGGGTTTGGGGTTTGGGGTTTGGGGTTTGGGGGTTTCGGGTTTAGGGTTTGGTGTTTGGGGTTTGGGGTTTGGGGGTTTAGGGTTGCTGGGGTTTTTGGTTTAGAGGTTTCTGGGCTTTTAGGGTCTTGGAGGTTTAGGGGTTTAGGGTCTTAGAGTCTTCTGGTTGCGGGGGCTCGGTCATAGGGTTCTGAAGTATGGGCCCTTGGGTTGTATAGGGTATATAAGGGGTATGTACGGGGTCCCCTTTTACGGGCCCATACTAAGGGACCATGTAATTACCCCAAGCAGTAGACCCTAAACCCTAAACCCTAAACCCTAAATCCTACCTGCTGTGTCAACTCTGAAACAGGACACGCCCGAAGCGGCCATGGCCTTTGCCACCCAAGTCGGCAACAGCTGCGAAGGCTACGCCTCCCCAGACCCCTCACCCCCAAACCCTAAATCCTAAACCCTAAACTCTAAACCCTAAACCTTAAACCCGAAACAGTGATCCGCTTCATAAGGGGATGAGGGCTTAGGGAAGAGGGTCAATGGTTCCTCAAGTCAAGTGGGGGGAGGGGGGTGTTCTAAGTATGTGGGTTTGTGTTTTTTTGGGGGGCTCAGGTTTAAGAATGGCACACGGGTTGCACACCCGCGAAACATACCCCGTAACATACCCCGAAACATACCCCCGAAACATACCCCGCAACATACCCCCGAAGTTGCAGGTAAAGTAGCTCCTGATGCCGCGAAACATACCCGAAACATACCCCCGACACATACCCCGAAACATACCCCGAAACATACCCGCGAAACATACCCCGACCCCAACACGTGTCATGCGCCTCCCCATTAAAATACAAACCCATGTATCAAGGGATGGACCATGTGTAAGACTCCCTGAATTCAACGGGGAATCCTTACAAAAAGGCATCTAGTTCTCGTTTTTTCAGGGTTTAGCGGTCAGGGTTTAGGGTTTAGGGTTTAGGGTTTAGGGTTTAGGGTTTACAGGTTTAGGGTTCCATGTTTTTTTTTGGGTCTGGTGGCTTGGCTGGGATTTGGGGTCTTGGAATTTAGGGCCTCTGCTGTCCTCTCTCGCTGCCTAGGGCTCGAGTATAGTTACTTTTGGGACAGAATACCTTATCCCCAACATGAAAGCCGCAACCAAAAAGTACATTCGAGGGCTAGGGTAAGAACTCGTACCCCCAGTAAGCGGCACATATGCCAGAGTTTCGTTCTGAGGCAACTGAACCCTAACCTGCGCATTCTTTATTTCTTCCTTGCTCCCCTTGCTTTGGGTTTCTATCCGTACCCCTCAAACTTCAACCCTATACAGTAAGCCCTAAAGAACCATCGTTACTCAGAGGGACCCTGGGGTGTATAAGTGTCCGCGAAAGATCCGCAAACAGGGCGTGCGAAAGGATAATTTGTCGAACGTATTGACATCTGGCACTCGCTACTTTCCCATATTCCAGAGTCCAACTAGCAGCCTACCACCCCCGAACCCTAAACCCTAAACCCTAACCCCTAAACCCTGAACCTTAAACCCTAAACCCTAAACCCTAAACCCCACACCAGGGAGGATTTCAAAGCAGGGCCACATGTCGAGTCAAAGCTCAACGTGGGGGCAGGGTGAGGAAATCCCTAATCCCTAAACCGTAAACCCTAAACCCTAAACCCTAAACCCTAAACCCTAAACCTGGATGCCAACAGCAGCGCAAGACTGGCGAAAGCTCCCGGCGCAGCCCACGTGGTAGTTGTTCAAGAAGTGTCTACCGTACCAACAGCGCCAGGGTTGAGGATTTAGGGTTTAGGGTTTAGGGTTTAGGGTTTAGGGATATATGGATGTGTTTGCAGCTTTCGGAGCGTGGACATCTGGTGGTCCAAGCAGGCAGTGTGGGGACGAGGAAGACAGCGCAAGCATGGCATGCTGTGGGCAGCAAGGGCCCGAATGAAAAACGAGTTGCCGCAATCAGAGGGTTTAGGGTTTAGGGTTTAGGGTTTAGGGTTTAGGGTTTAGGGTTTAGGGTTTAGGGTTTAGGGTTTAGGGTTTCAGCCCTAAGCCCCTCTTTGGTAGCCCAGTGGTACCCTTCACACGTTTGTTGGCTCTGGGTTCCCCTATATGCAGTAACCAACCCAAAAAAGGGTACCCTTACTTTAAGATGGTTACTTGGGCTACCAGGCCTCTTTCAAGCGTGAGACCTCTACCCTTCTTCAACCCGAGGCGTCACAAGATTTCTAGGTCTTAGGGTTCAGGAGTGCGCGCGATTGGGCACGCTCAAGTTCCGCGAAAGGGAATTGATTGTGGCGAAAGATGCACTTCCGGACAACCAAATTTAGATCAACCTGCCAGATAAACCACCCCCCCCCCCCCTCCCCCAATACACATTCCGATTGAATAGGCCTTGACCATTGCCCTCCCGGCTCTTTATCTTGTAGCTGTCGACGACTCGTAACCCCTAAACCCTCAAACCCTCTACCCCTGTAGATCCCGAAAGGCCCTACACCCTCAACCCTCAAACAAGGATACTTTAGGAGGAAGTCCCTAGTCCCATGCCTCAAAGCAAGAATTCTTGGAAGCCAAAGCATCCTGGAAAGCGTGTTTCGGGTTTGGGGTTTAGGGCTTTGCCTTGGACTCTATTTACCTACAGTTTAGTAGTAACTGCCCTGAATTAGTAGGTACAACCCATAAAACTGCAGGTAAAGATAAGGGATTAGGGATTAGGGATTAGGGAATAGGGATTAGGGGGTTAGAGACTGATTGCGGAAGGCAGCCACATCGATTCGCTTGTCAGTCTCATGGAGAAGCACGTCTCCAACCTTGCTGTTTGCTCCCAGGCGGCGTCCTCAAGCCTTGACCCGAACATACCCGAACCCTAACATGCACGAAGCTGGGTCCTTCAGTGAAATCTCAGCCCCAAACCCTAAACCCTAAGCCCTAAGCCCTAAATCAGAATCTTCACGCTCACTTGGTAGGTCTGTAGCGCCCTGGAGAATCTCACCTTCACTGATGCTTCTCGGCTGCAGGGAAATTTAGAGTCTCGTACAAAGTTTAGGGTTTAGGGCTTAGGGTTTAGAGTTTAGGGTTTAGGGTTTAGGGTTTAGGGTTTAGGGTGTCTGTGGGGCTTAGTAAGCAACTTAGCCAGGTTTAATGAGCGTGCTTCTGAGGCTATGGGGTTGACAAGACTCTCTGGCCACATTTAGATCAACCCGCCCTGAACCCTGAACCCTAAATCCTAGACCCCAAACCCCAAACCCCAAACCCCAAACCCCAAACCCCAAACCCCAAACCCCAAACCCCAAACCCCAAACCCTAAACCCTAAACCCTAAACCCTAAACCCTAAACCCTAAACCCTAAACCCTGTTCATCCTAGTTCTAAAGGCCATCTTGGCTTTGAAAGAGATGTTGAGGGCGTCGGGTTTAGGGCACCCTGAAGAAAGTCCCGAAACCTGCGCGCCTACTTCAGCCCCCTTAAGCCCTAAACCCGAAACAAAGCATGAACCCTAAACCCTGAGCCCTAAACCTAAACCCTAAACCCTAAACCCTAAACCCTAAACCCTAAACCCTAAACCCTAAACCCTACAGAAAGGACGCTACCCTAAACCCCCAAAACCCCAACCGAGGAGGACCACATGCTGAGAGTCGTAGACCTCGGCGGTGTGGAGTTGATCCTGAAAGTGTCGGGAAGCCAAAGCTTCGCTTTTGCTCCGTTCTTGGTTGGTTTAGGGTTTAGGGTTTAGGGTTTAGGGTTTAGGGTTTAGGGTTTAGGGTTTAGGGTTTAGGGTTTAGGGTTTAGGGTTTAGGGTTTAGGGTTCAGGGTTCAGGGTTTAGGGTTTAGGGTTTAGGGTTAGGAGCTTGACTTTCCCAGCCCCATCCTGGACCCTGCAGGGTTCAGGGTCGAGGATTCAGGATTTTGGGTATAAACTGGTTGATGGCTTGCGGAGTTTGTGCGATTTTTGTAGCATGGAGGGAGGGTTTGCCGCCCTAAGCCCTAAACCCTACAGCCTGCGTCTTTGCCGCCCTCACCGCCAAGGTTAGTCTGTCTGCGATTTTCTCGGTAGCCCAGTGGTAACCTTTACCCGTTTTTGGGTTCTGGGTTTCCTTTTTAAGTAACCACCCCCAAAAAGGGTACCCCCACAGGATGGTTAGGCCTTTACTTGAAATGTTTTTACCAGACTTCGGGATGATGGTTTAGGTTCTTTGACTTCGGGTTGATGGTTTAGGTTCTCTCGGTTCTCTTAGAGTACTTGATGGGTTATATACCCTGAGGGTCCATGAACCTCATGATTTTATACTTGGGCCCCGAAGTCCTTATGCAGGAAGCACGTTAAGGCCCAAGCGATCCCCATTTAGGTGCGTGGACGCTTAGGGCCTAGGGATATACAAGGGGTATACCGGTATACCAATCATGGGCCCCTGGGGCAAGGGCTTTGGGCATTATCGCAAATGGCACCCTGGGCCCTAAACCCGAAACCCCAAACTCCAAACCCTAAACCCTAAACCCTAAACCAGCAGGCCAAGCATCGCTAGCTAGGATTCTAGCGTGCTCTTTGGTGTTCCATGTGGTAACTTGTCTTATGGCCAAGTGATCAAATGCTCCATGCTCGCTAACGTCAGGGCCTCATCTGGTTTCATAGCAGGCATTCAATGTCCAAATGCGCGATGCACAGGTGATATTCGAGGTGTTGCTGGGGATAAACGAGTAAACTCAAGCATACAGGCGTTTGAGCGTGATGCTGGTTGGGCAATCTGTGCTACGCGCAAGCATCGGACGGATGTTTGCCCCCATCCAAGTCCTTCGACCCATTTGACCCTGTACTTCCAAGTGCTTGAGGCAAGTATTGGCGTATATCGGCTGCATCGGGATCCTAGTAGCCTATACAGATGGAGGCGTAGGGCTTGTTTGACCCATCAGGTGCCATGTGGGCATGGAAGAGGGGACAAAAAGCGGGCAATACTGGGCTGCATGCGACTCGCCGCTGTGAGAGGGAGTTTACTAAGACATGCCCTCTTTGCACCATCCTATGGTTGATCGATCGAGTTGCTAGAGGATATCTATAGGATTCCTAAGAGCATTTGCGGTGCTACCAGTCTAAAGTAAATAGCGGGTTCTATCAAAAGCCTGAAGCGATCCTCGGCCAAGCGAAGGGTTTAGTTTTCTGTTCAGGAGTCTAGGGCTTCTGCCGGGTTTAGGGTTTGCGTTTTGGGGTGCACTGAAGGGTTTATGAGGCTGCACAAGGTTTAGTGAGGCATTCCCAAGGAAGCCCATCAACTGTTGCTTTATCGTGGCAAAAGTGTGCTAAAATTCGGCCCTGAGCATGCCACGAGTACGCTAAATTTCGCTAATGTTCACAATGTTCATGGAATGTTCACAATGCTCATGGAATGTACTATTTCCATATCACTTTTTCAACGAAAAGAACGTGTTCAGGTTTTGAGCTTCTACTACTTGGCTAGCGCGCCCCAGGGCGCCTGGTCGGTTTGCTGCGGCTGAACCGCTGGACATTGGTGTTTTGCATCATTTGCAGTAGAGGCCGAAAAATCAACTAAAAAAAACTACTCGCGGGCACGGACAATGAAGGTTTCAGTGTTTGGAAGCGATGTGCTGCTGTACCTAAAGGCTAAACCGTCCCTAAACCTTAAACCCTAAACCCTAAATCCTAAACCCTAAACCCTAAAGCCTAAACCCTAAACCCTAAAGCCTAAACCCTAAACCTTCAACCCTGAATCCTAAACCTAAACCCTCAACCCTCAACCCTCAACCCTCAACCCTCAACCCTCAACCCTCAACCCTAAACCCTAAACCCTAAACCCTAAACCCTAAACCCTAAACCCTAAACCCTAAACCCTAAACCCTAAACCCTAAACCCTAAACCCCATCCCTGAAGTCTAAAGGTGTGTGTGTGTGTGTGTGTGTGTGTGTGTGTCGGCAGCATTTTTTCGCACATGGCAAAACAAAAGCGAGCATCATGAACACAAACGCTGCCGCGAGCCAGACGTTTTTTTTGCGCCGAAAACAACTAAAATTCCTTCCGCCCTAGGCAGGTTCGGAAAAAGCATGGTGGCATCTCAGCGATCGACCTACTAGCCAGGCGTGGCCGCGTGTCCTCTCCCGGAGGCCAAAACACTGTAAAACACGATGTATTCAGCATGTGCGACATGGCATGGACGTTATCATTCCCCCCCCCCACCCCAGAAGAGCAAAAAACGCACCGAACTACCAGGCGCCTGAGGGCGCGCTTTGCTACTACTTCGGTACAGTACCCTGAAGGGTTACCGGCCAGAATCCCTTCACCGTAGGCCGTAGTCCTCCAAATTTGCATGTAGGCTTCCCAACAACCCCAGGAAATGTAATATGCATATCTTTTTGGAAGCCCGCAACCCTATGCCCAGAACCTGATAAACTCTACGACCCCCCAAACTGCGCCCAGGCTGGAAAAGCACGAGGAACCGAGCCGCCCCAGGGTTTTCGGTCGACCGTATAGGGTTTAGGGTTTTGGGTTTAGGGTTGATTGAAGCATCCTACAGTTCAAGGTGCCAGAGAGGGGCCAACTTAAACTTAGTTGAACCAACAAGTTTTGGGCTCGCAGAACCAAACTGTGCTCAATGGGATTCGGGCTTGGGTCTAAGGATTAGGGTGATTCTACTATTTGCTTCAGCACCCCAAAAGAATAAGGCATAATTATCCCGACAATACCCTTGATTAGGGATATTATTTCTAGTTTTTCGGGGTTCTGAAGCAATTAGTAGTATTGGCCAGTCCTTATCGGCAGGTGTGAGGCTCGCATCATGGCTCCTTGTGCACTTGCAAAACCTTGCTTGGCCCATGGTAAACACCAGCAACGGTTGCCCTAGCCCATAGCCTGAAAGCAACGCCTCTCGAGTTGGAAATGAAGACAGAAGAAGCCATGAATGCTAGCTGCTAGACTCGCCACAAAAGTAAGGTCATGGCCTGAGGTTCTCGTTGGATTCTTGTGTCCCAGCTCATGAGTGTACTTTCATGGACCCTGGGGTTGCGCAAGTAACTATAGCTGACTCTTTCGAAGCCCTACGGTAACCTACCAATCGGATCCTTCATACGTAGGTTCCCCACAATAGTTGGGTATGGAAACCCAGGGTCCATCCTGGGAGCAGCTGCTTTGAGCACTTGCTTTGAAGTGGAGGTAGATGCCCCAAGTTAGTCTAAATTATGGGGCACCTAGGGGGGTAGTATAGAGGGGGGTACTAGGGGAACCCATGACTAAGGGGTTCTATGCCTTTGGGTGTGGCTAAGCCGTCGCAGGACTTGGAGGGCACGATGTTGCGCCCTGCGATTGATACCCTGTGGAACCTTACCTTTCACGAGAAGGCTCTGTGGTTGGCTCATCTTTACTACCACTACTACGACGACGACTACTACTACTACTACTACTACTACTACTACTACTACTACTACTACTACTACTACTACTACTACTACTACTACAAGAAGCCAAATGATTGCCAAGAATCTTGTCACCGTAGAATCCCTATAAAAGCATAAGCTACACTACCCCAAAATACACATGTTAGACAAATAGAAGCCCTTGATCTTCCATGGTTTACAAGGACATTGTCACCCTAGAATTGCTTTTGCAGGGAGGGATGTGGGTTAAGGCTTCGGTCTCCAACCTCATGCCCCAAAACCCCAAGCCTCAAACACTCAAAGCCCTAAACCCGAAACCCTGCAACAAAGCAATAGGGCTGAAATTTGAGCCCTCAACCGTATTCCTAAACCCAAAAAACGCAAATCCCTACAACCCGAAACGCTCAAGCCCTACATTACCCTAAACACTCAAATCCAACAACTCTCAGTCCTAAAGCCGTACACCCTAAACCCTCAAGCCCCACAACCCTCAGCCCCAAAGCCCCAAACAGCCCCCTAGCCTTAAATGCCTTTAAAGCCCCAACAGCTCCTAAACGCCCTCAAAGCCCTAAACGCCCACAAAGCCCTAAAAGCCCTAAAAGCCTAAAGCCCAAAACGGCCTAAAAGCCCTAAAGGCCCTTAAAAGCCCCAAACGCCCTCAAAGCCCTCAACGCCCTGAAAGCGCCTAAAAAAAGCGCCCCAAACCCTAAACCCTAAACCCTAAAATCCCAAATCTTAGATCCCTAGAAACGCTAAAACCCGAAACGTGAGGCAGTGGACCGGGCCACGGCCGCTGGTGCCGTCCCTCGCGTCACAGCGGTGCTGCCGGCTGACTTTACGCGGGCACGCATTTCTCCACATCCCTATAGGGTTTGGGGTTTAGGGTTTGGGGTTTGGGGTTTGGGGGTTTGGGGTTTAATTAGGGTTGAGGGTTGAGGCTTGAGGCTTGAGGCTTGAGGGTTGAGGGTTGAGGGTTGAGGGCATAAATCGTATAAACCTCAAGCCCCCAAAGCCCTGTGTGCGTCTTAGGGTTAAGGGTTTAGGTGTGTGTGTGTGTGTTTATCTGTTTGTCTGTGTGTTTGTCCATGCGTCCATCTGTATTTCTTTTTTTTTCTCTCTCTCTCTCTCTCTCTCTCTCTCCGTCCCTCTCCCTCTGCTTCTCTGTCGCTCTGTGTCTCTGTGTGTCTCTCCCTCTCTCTCTCTCTCTGTTTGTGTGTCGTTTTGCTAACTAAGGACCTACTATATACAGTGTTAGGGTCACTTCTTACTAGTCCTACGCCCAAACCCGAAGAGTTTCGGAATCAAGTCGTTTAGCAACATGTTCTGATTCTTGAAGGGTGCCTTACCTAGGAAGCCGGAGCTTAATCCTGGCTTAGGGTTTAAGGCTTAGGGTTCCTTAAAGGCTTAGGGTTCCTTATCGGCTTAGGGTTCCTTAACGGCTTAGGGTTCCTTAAAGGCTTAGGGTTCCTTAAAGGCTTAGGGTTCCTTAAAGGCTTAGGGTTCCTTAAAGGCTTAGGGTTCCTTAAAGGCTTAGGGTTCCTTAAAGGCTTAGGGTTCCTGAACCCTCAACTACTCAGTCCCCAGCTGCCCTCAGAATTGCAGGGACGTGGGTTCAGAGCTCTTAGGGTTTAGGGTTTAGGGTTTAGGGTTTAGGGTGAACGAGTTTACCAGGGCTGCCTGTATAGATGGCACGCACACGCTGAGTAGAAACAAAAAAACCTGCCAGAAGAACTTGGAAAGCTGACGCAAATCCTCAGCCCCCTGTCGCAAGGAAGGGGCCCTTCGGCCTTTGACAATGAGCCAAAAACCCTAAACGTCCCTAAACCCTATAAACCCTATAAATCCTATAAACCCTAAAAACCCTATAAACCCTAAACGTCCCTAAACCCTATAAACCCTATAAACCCTATAAATCCTATGAGCCCTAAAAACCCTAAAAACCCTAAGCTCTAAACCCTAAACCCTAGTTAAAGGCACTCCGCAGGGCGAAGAGCCATCCCGATGTGTAGAGTGCAGTTGTTTTCTGCCTAGGGTGCCGAGGCCTAAACCTATCCCTAAGGTTCTTTAAGTGCCCGAATATGGTTATAACTGGGTTTTAAGTACAGTTATAATTGGGCTGTTAGGTACCATGAACCTCCAAGCAAGGGTCCATGTACCTTGTTATTATGTACTTGGCCCCAAAGTCCCAACACAGGAGTACCTTATAAGGCCCAGTTTACGCCCTATTTAGGTACATGGACCTGTAGGGCTCAGTGTCCTTACACCCGAAACCCGAAACCCTAAACCCCAAACCCCAAACCCCAAACCCCAAACCCTAAACCC